GGAGAGTGAAAACATACAAATAAAAATCTCAACATATTATTCTGCCTCAGAGGTTACTTTCTGAAAAAGTATGATTTGATGTGTAATTGACATACAGTAAACTGCACACATTAAAACTGCACAATTTGGTCTGTTTTGACATATGTATAAACCCGTGAAATCATCACCGTAATCAAGATAATGACCATATCCACCACCAGCAAAACTTTCTTTGTGCCCCTTTGTAATTCCTCCCGCCCACTCCTCCCTTCCCCAGGAAACCGCTGATCTGCTTTCTGTCACTATAGATTGACTTGTTTTCATTTTCTAGAGTTACATATAAATGGAAGCATACAGTATGTACTCTTTTTGTCTAACTTCTTTCACTCAGTGTAACTGTTTTGAAATCTATCTGTGTTGTAGCATGCATCAATAGATTATTCTTTTTTGTCGCTGAGTAACAGAGATGGGAGTGAGGAGCCTAGGGTGCAAAATGCAAGGAGGCACTCACTCTCAGGACCCTGCAAAGGCAGCGCTGGCACTTCCATGACCCTGGGAGTGAGCGCCTCCTTACATTTTTCACTCTAGGTTCCTCACTTGCTTCCTTCTAATCCCAGTCCTGCTCCATAGTATTCCATTGTGTGGATATTACATAATTTGTTTATCCATTTACCTGTTCATAGACATATGATTGTTTCCTAATTTGGGTTGTCTATTATGAAGAAAGTTGTTATAAATACTCATGAGTCTTTGTATAGACAGACACTTTTATTTCTCTTGGGTAAATACCTAGGAGTGGAGTGGCTACATAATATGATAGGTATATGTCTGTGTGGGTCTATTTCTGGATTTTTCCTCTTTCATTGATATATTTGTCTATCTTTACACCAATATCACACTGTCTTGATAACTGTAGCTTTATAATAACCTTAAAATCTATTGTCAGTCTTCCCTCTTTGATCTTCTTTTTCAAAATTGCTTTGGCTATTCTGGGTCTTTGCATTTCTATGTGAATATTAGAATAATTTTGTTTATTTAAACAAAAATGCCTGTTAAGACTTTGGGTAGAATAGACATCTTAATAGTATTGAGTTTTTGACCCTTGAACATTGTATATATCTCCATTTATTTAGATCTTTAATTTCTCTCAACAATGTTGGGTAGTTTTCATTGTATAAGTCTTTCACATCTTTTGTCATGTTTATCCCTAAGTATTTTATAATTTTTGATGCTACTCTAACTTGTATTTGTTCACTACTAGTATATGGAAATGCAACCGATTGTTGTGTATTACTAACTCATTTATTAGCTATGGTAGTAGCTTTTTTGTAGATTCTCTCTGATTTTTTACTATAACTGATCTTATTATCTGCAATTAAAAACAGTTTACTTCTTTCCAATATGGGTGCTTTTTATTATTTTTTTTCCCCTTGCCTTATTGCTCTATCTGGAAGTTGTAATATAATGGTTTTTTTATTGAGGTATAATTGACATATAATATTATACTAGGTTCAGGTTTACAACATAATGATTCTTTATTTGTATGTATCGCTAAGTGATCACCATAATAAGTCTAATTAACATCTGTCACCATACGTAGTGAAAAAAATTTTTTTCTTGTGATGAGAACTTTAAGATCTACTCTCTTAGCAGCTTTCAAATACGCAATAGCGTATTATTAACTATAATCACCATGTTGTACATTACATACTCATGACTTATTTATTGTATAACTGGAAGTTTATATCTTTTGTCTCCCTTCATGCATTTCACCTATTCCCCACCCCCTGCCTCTGACAACCATCAATCTGTTCTCTGTATCTACAAATTTAGGTTTTTCTGTTTTTTAGATTCCACATATAAGTTAGATCATGCAGTATTCATCTTTCTCTGTCTGACTTATTTCACTTAGCATGATGCCCTCAAGGTTCATCCATGCTGTCGCAAATGGCAAGATTTCATTCTTTTTTATGGCCAAATGATATTCCTCTCCATGTGTGTCTATGTGTGTGTGTGTGTATGTGTGTGACATTTTCTTTATCCATTCATCCATCGATGGACACTTAGATTGTTTCCATATCTTGGCTGTTGTAAATAATGCTGCAATGAACATGGAGGTATATATATATGTTTTTGAGTTAGCGTTTTTGTTTTCTTTGGAGAAATCCAAGAAGTAGAATTGCAAGATCACATGGCAGTCTATTTTTAGTTTTTTGAGGACACTCCATACTGTTTTCCATAGTGGCTGCATCAATTTACTTTCCCACCAATAGTGCGCAAGGATTCCCTTTTGTCCACATCCTCACCAACACTTTTTATTTCTTGTCTTTTTCATAATAGCCATTTTAACAGGTGTGAGGTGATATCTCATCGTGGTTTTGATTTGTGTTTCCCTACCAAACTTTTCATCATTGTGAAATACCATCTTCGTTCTTTGTCTTGAAATCTTTTGTGTCTGGTGCTGATATAACCACTCTTGCTTTCTTTGGATTAAGTTTTCATGGTATATCTTTTTCCATTCTTTTACTTGTAACTTATGTGGGTTTTTATATTTAAAGTATGTTTCTCATAGGTAATATTTAGTTTAAACTTAAAAAAAATCCAATCTGACAATCTCTACTTTCTAATTAGACTATTTAGACCATTTATATTTAATGGGAGTATTTATATGGCTAATCAAAAATCTATATTTTTGCCATTTGTTTTCTGTTTATCCTATCTTTTTTATTTCCTTTATTCTGACTTTTTTTTCAATTGATTGAATTTTTTATGATTCCGTTTTATCTCTTCTTGAATTACTGGCATTAAGTCTTTTAAAAAATATTATTTTAGTGCTTGCTTTAGGATTTACAGTGTACATCTTTAAATAAAGTCTATCTTCAAGTGATATTGTATCACTTCACATAGAGTATAACAACCTTTCAACAAGATAATTTTCTTTGTTTCCCTTCAAATCTTCATGCTATTGTTGTCATGCATTTTACTTTCGTATATCTTGTAAACCCCACAATATGTTGTTATTATTTTTCTTTAAAGAGTCCATTACCACTTAAAGAGACAGAAATAGCATGAAAAATCAATATATATTTACTTTGTAATTGCCATTTTGAATGGGAAATTTGCTCTCATCTCTATCTTTGGTCCTCTGTTCATAGTATGTCCTTTTCCTCTGGCTGCTCTTAAAATTTTCTCTTTATCGCCTGCTTTAAAAAATTGGATTATGATATGCTGCAGTGTAGTTTTCTCCAAGCTTTTTGTGCTTCAGTTCATTGAGCTACTTGGGTTTACAGTTTTCACCAATTTGAAAAAATTTCCATCATTTTTTATTCAAATGACTTTTTGTCCTCCTCCCTCCTCTTCTTCAAAGAATCCATTTCCATATATATTAGGATGCTTGAAATTGTTCACAACTTCCTGATGTTCTGCTTTTTGTTAATTGATTGATTAATTGATTGATTCTCTTTTCTGTCATTGTTTCATTAAAGATTATTTCTACTGCTGTCTTTAAGTTCATGAATCTTTACTTCAATGTATAACCTGCTTTGATTCCATCCAATGTATTTTATCTCACATGTTCAAGTTTTATCTTTAGAAATTTGATTTACATCTTTTCTACGTTGTCTATAGCTCTCCTTGTATTTCTGAACACATGTAATACAGTTATAACTGTTTTAATGTTCTCTTTTTCCAGTTCTAATTTCTATATTAATTCAGAATCAGTTTCAATTGATTGGTATTTTTTTCTCATTGTAGTTCTATTCCCATGCTTGTCTACATGCCCAGTATTTTTTTTTTTAATGCGTGGGACATATTTCTACGAAAAAATTATTCAGTATTTATCTGAAATTTAAATTTAGCTAGGAATCCTGTATTTTTATCTGATAACCCTATGTCCTGAGAGCTCTAGTCCCCTTGATCTCTCCAGACCCTTCTCTTTGGCTCCTCAACTCAGGGCATCCTCCAGCTTCTGCCTAAGTTCTCACTTACTGTACTGCAGCCTGAATACTCTCTCATGGCAGTAAGCTGGTACCATTGTAGGGCTCATCTTCTCTGTTTCCTCTCTCAAGGATTGCTGTCCTTTGTTGTCTGATATTCATTCTATTGAAACTCAGTTTATCATGTACTTTGTCCACTTTTTGGTTGTTTTACCAAGGAGAGTAAATCTGTTCCCTGTTAGTCCCTATTACTCTGTCTTGGTTGGAAGTGGAAGTCCATCTCCAGAGGTTATTATTGTTAGCTGGAGGCCAAAACATGGTGCTTTTGGGGGCCAAAGCTGTGTTCAACTCCTTTGTAGGAGACTTTACTGGCTTTTCTCCATAGTTTTGTGCAATCAGCTATCTAGAAGAAAAGAATGCTATACATCATAGAGGGCACCTGCTGATAATGAGGATGACTGACTACTGTTGGGAAACTGATTAGAAGTGTGTGCCTGCTAATAAGGGAATGGGGATGGGCCATGGGGTTATTACCAAATAAAAGGATAAATCAGCACCTTACATTATGTTATATTACGTGTCAGAATTTGGTCCAAAAGATAGATTTGGCTGAGGATCAATGCTTGGATGATTGATTGGTAATAAGTTTGGAGACAGGGCCAGGAAGAAAAGGCAAAGGGGCTGGCCTGGTGGTGCAGCGGTTAAATGTGCACATTCCACTTCTCAGCGGCCCGGGGTTCGCTCGCCTGGATCCCGGGTGCGGACATGGCACTACTTGGCATGCCATGCTGTGGTAGGCGTCCCACATATAAAGTAGAGGAAGATGGGCATGGATGTTAGCTCAGGGCCAGGCTTTCTCAGCAAAAAGAGGAGGACTGGCAGTAGTTAGCTCAGGGCTAATCTTCCTCAAAAAATAGAAAGAAAAGGCAAAGAGAGTGAGGTTAATCAAACTGGGGTCATAGAGGGACTTAGAAAGGTTCAGGCCGCTTCTTTCCTACCAATAATCAGTTACATTCTCCATGGTGGTCTCTGGAAATAAAAATAAAAGCATTTCCTTTCTTTACTCATTGGTTTCTCTTGGTCTAGCCATATGCCGCTATCCTCTGGGAATGTCAGGGGGCCATATTCCAGATGAGGACATCACGGCTTCCAGTCAGTGGTCAGAATCCACAGCTGCCAAATATGGAAGGTAAGGATGGCTACCCCAAGAAAGCCTGAGTTCTGTGTTGAACAGTTTTCCTGACTTAAGGGGCTAGGAAAGAAGGGTACTTGGTGGGCACCGGTGGGAATGATGCAAGGACATCAAGTGGGCCTGTTTTCAGGGTCCGGCAGCATGTGGTGGCCTAGTAACCTCATTCCAACCACAGAGGCCCTAGAACCACACCACCCACAGCATATGGGTTCGTTGATATGCAGTGAATTTGCTTTACTTCACTTTCTCACTGTGAGCTGCTGCAGGAAGGGGACTACAGTGGTAGCATGAGAAGGGGTGGATTGTGTAGGACACTGGGAGCTGGAGACTCGGTCTTCTTCTCGGTGAGTGTCTGTGAAACATCACTCATAGTGCAAAGCATCAAGGACTTAAACAGACATTGAGGCCTCCAGCAAGTTCTTCCCTTCTCTCAAGGATATCTCCCGCAAAAGGGCCAACTTCATCCATAAACAGAGTATGGTGGGTTCCTTGTGGTCTAATACAAGGGGTCCCCTAAAGCAATAAATATCTTTGTCAAAAACTACTCTGCTTGTTAGGGCCTAATCCTCCTCCTGGAATCTAATTCTTTCAGTATAAAGTATTGATTTCTGTTAAAATGGAATCACCCTTAAGAAAAACAACCCTGGTAAACCTCCATAATTTCTATCTCAGTGTGTAAAAGATTAGAGTGATGGTTGGTGGGGTTTGAAGGGAGCAGCAATTAGTAGGTGACATCTGTGAGAAAAGACACATTCCAGGGAACAGGGAAAGTGGTAAGAGGTTCCTCAAAGAAATCGTATACTGATTTCACAATTTTCCTCACTGGTGGCTCAGCCTGGAGGTAATAAAATGAAACTGGATTATTTACTATTCCCCTGACATACTCTTACCCCTCACTCTCACCATGGGTTTCCGCAACTTTTTGCTGGGTTCCCATGCCCATCCTGCTGGTTAAAATTCACTGTGTTACATAACCCACACTGGAGATCTTCTTATACCTCCCTCCCTACTCCTATAACTTGATATCCAGGCAAGGAGTGGCTAACCTTGTCATACTGAGATTGAAAGTGGGAGGGGGGATGGTAAATGACTCAGTGTGGGAGTAGAGGGTAGAAAGGGTTTCATTGTGTGGGACCTCCCTTGAGATCTCAAAATTAGGATGGGAAATGAAGGCTACATGTCATCTGAAGGCCTCTAGCTCCCTGGTGGTGACTGTCTTTCTGGGTTTCGTAGTGCTCCAGGGAGAGGGAACTGACCACAAGTGGGTACTGTGGTGTCAGTCAGACTGGTGGAGAAAACCCCAAGAGTCCATCTGGTCTGAACTCCCAGCCTGCTCTCTCCCCTCAGGTCAGGGTAACTGCTGGCTGTGGACTGGTAAATAACTCTGTGGTTTCATGATTGCTCCCTCTCTCCCCAACCTTCATCTTTTAAGGCTGGATTCAGAAGAAGGGGATGGAGCCTGGTGTCCTGAGATTCCAGTGGAACCTGATGACCTGAAAGAGTTTCTGCAGATTGACTTGCACACCCTGCACTTTATCACTCTGGTGGGGACCCAGGGGCGCCATGCAGGGGGCCATGGCATTGAGTTTGCCCCCATGTACAAGATCAATTACAGTCGGGATGGCACTCGCTGGATCTCTTGGCGGAACCGGCATGGGAAACAGGTAGGCAGAAGAGACATCCAGACCCTGGGATGTCCAGGACTGTATTTTGACTTAGGCTAGAAAAGGTATATATATATCCACAGTCCTGGCATGAACTTGTAAATATGTGACCCAAGATGAGGGGGTGGGGAGGGAGCATAGAGAGGAATATCAAGGCTGCCGAGAAAGCTGAGTAGATGTATTCTGCTCTTTGAATGAAAAAGAGAGGGTCCATCAAAGGGGTGATGACTTAGGGGTTGAAGAAGAGTCAACATGACTCCATAGCATCTCCTCACTCTCTCTTCTCTCTCCTCAGGTGCTGGATGGAAATAGTAACCCTTATGACATTTTCCTAAAGGACTTGGAGCCACCCATTGTGGCCAGATTTGTCCGCTTCATTCCGGTCACCGACCACTCCATGAATGTGTGCATGAGAGTGGAGCTTTATGGCTGTGTCTGGCTTGGTAGGTCTCAAGAGAGAGAACTTATAGAGCTTATTAAAAACTCCAACCCCTGGGAAATAAAGGCAATCAAATCAGAAAGGGATGGGATTACTGATCACCAAGAAGGGATTCCCTCTTGGTTAGAGTAAAGAAAGCAATATTGTTCATCCACCCAGTACCTGGAATAATGCATTCAGTGACACTCTGCAGACTGTCACTGAGGAGTGCTCCTCAGCAGTGCTCCCTGTGTGCCCAGATTGAGTCCCGTGTGGACATAGTGCATGAAGTGTCATCCTTGAAGCCTCAGGTAGCTCTCTGGGATAGTTGGTCCGAGCAGCAGGCGCATCTCCTTCTCAAAGGTGCTGACACATGTGTGTTTCCTTTGACAGATGGCTTGGTGTCTTACAATGCTCCAGCTGGACAGCAGTTCGTACTCCCTGGAGGCTCCATCATTTATCTGAATGATTCTGTCTATGATGGAGCCGTTGGGTACAGGTAAATTCTGGGAAACTTTGGTCATCAGAATGGGAAATGGCCACTAGAACAGAATAATATTTTATCATGGGTTGGGATCAGTAAACAATCAATCAACCAACTAGTGTTTACTTAGACCCTTTACTATGCATTGTGAGATAATTTAATAAAGTAAAATATGTAGTCTTTATTTGCAAGAAACTTAGAGGCTGGTTTTGGAAGGCAAAGTAATCACAAGGAAAACACTAAATTACGCAAAGGAAAGGTTAAGCTTTGTATTATGGACCTAAGTATGGTAGCCATATTTTTTGGCCCTCAAAACAGGACATGTCATCTGACATGAATAGTGGCCTACTTATGGAGACAAACGGCCAGAGAATTGAAGTTATAAGTATAATAAATTGGACAGATCAAGAAGTTCAGGAAGAATGAACCCCATAAATATAAATGCTGTAGAAACTGTGAAAATGAGACTAGTAAGGCTTATAATAGACAAGGAAAGTTTCTAGGATGAGATGATAATTGGAGCAAAGGAGATAGGTAGAAGGGAATAGAGGAAAGGAAGCAGGACTGAGAACAAGAACGACCTGACTATAGAAGAAGGTAGGGCTGGGAGCAGCAGAAGGACCAATGGATAGTCCTGAAATGGACCAATGGAGGGCCATGATGGAGAAGTATGTTCAGATACAGGAGGAATTTAGGACTGGATAAGAGATATTCCCACTTATCCCACTTTACCCCAAGCCATGCCATTCTTCTACCCACTTCAACACTTTTCTCTCTCTTAGCTTGGTCTTTGTCTGCAAAGATTGAGCCTGGCAGAGAGGTCAGACCATAGTGAAATCCAGACTAGATGATGGAGGTTGCTAGTGGTTGAGATAGAGAGATTAGTGAGTCTCAGGAATAGGAGTGTGGAATTACAGTACTTGCAAGGGCTCAGGTGTGAAGAGCAAACTACTGCCCCCAGCTGCCATCGCCTGGTGATGACCTGACTCATCCAGTATTCTATCCCTAGTCACTTCCTCTCCATCTCCTTAGTCACTCTTCTTCCCCATTTGCTTAAACTGTCTTGGCGTTATTTCACTCAGCCACACCCCAACTGGCATATACTCAAGGAATAGAGGAAATCAGAGATTGAGTGGATAAATCTTTGCTAATTAGCTATACTGTGTGCAAGGAATTTGGCTAGACATGGTAGGTATTCAAATAGAATGAAATTATTGATCTTATGATTAAGCAGTGGGGGCTAAAATAGGATATAATTTGCTGTGACATAAGCATCAAGTAAGAGATATCATATGTGTGCTCTGGGGTTCCAAAGAAAGAGGAAGCCACAGTAGGAAAGCACAGCATTGGGGGTGGAAACAGCTGGATTCACGTAATAAAAGTTGCTTCTGTTTGCCATGTGACTTAGGTGATAAAATGTATAAGAAAAGCATTTTGTAAAGGTAAAATGTTATATACATGTAAGTTATTATCTAATTGGAGGACCAGTAAGACGTGATGGAATAGATGAAATCAGAAATGGGCCCCAAAGAATGGGTAGACCTTTCACAGGCAAAGAATCTTGAGATGGCATTTTAGGCAGAGGCACTAGCATGAGGACAAAAGAATCACACTGTAAAGTTTAGAGGAATGTCCAGGAGAGATCAACAGTTTAGCTAACCATGGGCCATATTTATGTAGCAAAGCACTAGTTGAGAGGCATCACAAGGCAGATTATGTCATATTTTGGAGGCAGTTGAATGTCAGGGTCAGGAAGAAGTGGAGAAGGACGGAATGGAGGAGGAGGAGCTGTTGTTCATCAACATAATCATCAACATAATGAGTCACTGAAGAGTTTTAAAGCTGGGGAAGGACGTGACTGGAACTGTGCTTTTGACCGATTAATCATGCAGCATGTAAAGGTTAGATTTGAGTGGAAGGAGGAGGTAATGAGGGACATTTTCTAATTCCAAATTCTGTCAGATGAAACAAATTAAGGACCAAGGCCATAGTGGGGACTGGGGAATGGGAACAAGGAGACATTCATTTAGGGAACATTTGCAATCTGATTGGATGTAGGGGGCTAGATGAAACATGATAGTTTAGGTGACTGAAACAGTGGAGATGACATTTATTCATTCAACAAATATATTTTGACTGCTTACTATGCACTAGGTACTTTCAGTGAATACGAAAGAGAAGTGCAATTGACAGAAATGGGAAATCCAGGTGAAAGATTTAGTTTAGAAAAAGATGATGATGGATCTAGTCTGGGATATAAGTTTAAGGGACTGACAGGACATTCAAATGGAGAAATAAGACAGGTGCTAGAAATATGGCTCTGAACCCCAGCGGACTGATAAAAAATAATTAGAGAGATTTAGACGCAATCAGCTTCCATGCAATAATTGAGGTAATGAAATATCGAGTTGGGGTGTGGCTGAGTGTTGAGGTACAAGCTACCTAATTCAGAGTCTCAGGAAATAGTCATAGAAGCAAAAGCGATTTTTTTTTAATTAAAAAAATTCCAAATGTCATATCCGCTTGTTGTAGTAATTCTAACAATTCTAAAGTGTATGAAGTAACAGAGAAATTTTCTTTCCTTATCCCTTCCCCTTGATTTAATTTTGATTACGGAAAAACTGAAATTCTCTGAAATTAAGGAGAAAATAAATTAAATTCCTTTTCATTTGTGTTACTTTTCATAAGACTTTCATGGGGCTTAATTTTTCTGGGAACAATGGGAAATATATTTATTGCAAGTAAACTTATGTTCTCCTAGCCTTCTGATCTGTAGAGAGAAGAAAAAGATGACAAAACCTTGGAAGGGGGATCCAGGCTCTGGTCACTGTGGATAAGGCCAGTCAAATTTTATAATTTGCCAAACATTTTGCAATGAACAAATATATTTAAGAATGCATCTGTAAGGCTGGCATAATCACTCTTAATCATTTTTGTAATTCACAAATTTTCTATATCACTGGTCTGGCTGTAACCTCACGGGTCACATGCATTATTGCTTGAGGGTGAGTAGCCCCATCTCTTTATTTGGGAGACTCCTGACATATCTTCCAGAGCTTGAGATGCAGAGCTTGAGAGAGAAGTTCCACATGATAGGTTCTTGCTCCGTCCCTCCGTAAAAAGAAGGAAGACCTCTTTCTGTTCTTCAAACAGGCAAATTAACATAAATATGCGTACATCTCATCCAGCAGGCAGGAATCCGGCCAACTCAGCCACAAAACAGAGGCTTACACTCCAAGGTGGAAAGCCTGCCAAGCTAGAAAACAAAACGAAAGCCAATGCCTCTGACCCTCATGTAATCCACGCATTTTACTCCATGAGTCCAGTATTCTATAAATGTAATTAAAATTAATTATAAATTAGTATTTAAATTGGGCAAAGATTACTTATTTATTTTTTTTGCACATTAATTTGCTATCAGATTGGGTTGTTGGAGATGTGGGATAAAAGAGGGTATGCCCGACTTCTCTGAAGTTGATTCACTGAACAAAGACAACAAGCAAAGGAGTCAGAAAATTTCCGACGAGCTCCGGGACCCTTTATTTAGTGATGGGCAAGTGCTACTAGCTACCAGTGTTCATTCCATGTGTTCATTCATTCATTCATTCATTTACTCCTTAGTGGACTTATTAAACAAATGCATTTGATAATACTGAGTTATTATTATATTCTGTATATAAGAATAGACAAGGATACAATGAATTATAGAAAGCTTTTCATATAAAATGATAAAATACTGTTTAAAAGTTTTGCTACTAAATGAGTAAGCATCAAATATTCTGTAAAATCCATTTATATGAAATTCTTAGCTCTCCACTGATGCAGGATAAATGAGTCTATGCTATAAAATATATTGGATTTTCGGTAATCCTTCAACTTCCAAGATTATCAGCCCTTACAAAATCCGGGGAGAAGAAGCTGGGTAAAAGCTTTTCCGTGAACGTGTAATTAACTCCAGGTTCCTCTCTCCCTTTGCCTTCTCCTCTCCTGGTCTGAGCAGCATGACTGAAGGGCTGGGTCAGTTGACAGATGGGGTGTCTGGCCTGGACGATTTCACCCAGACCCATGAGTACCATGTGTGGCCCGGCTATGACTACGTGGGCTGGAGGAACGAGAGTGCCACCAATGGTTACATCGAGATCATGTTTGAATTTGACCGCATCAGGAATTTTACTACTATGAAGGTCAGTGGAGTGAGGTGTGGTGGAACTTCAAAGAGGCCAAAATCATGGTGTGGCAGAAAAAAGGCATGCGAGAGAGAACCCTGCGACAATACCAGCAGAACTGACTTCAAATACATAATCTGTAACTAACTAGCTACATGCGTTTCACAAGTAACTTCACTTTCTGGGTTTGTTTCTTCCTTTGTAAATAAGGGGGTTAGACTAGGTCACTGGTTCTCCATGTTTGTTTTTCTTGTTCCAGCACCAGAGTGGATGTATACATTAGGCACAGAGGGCAGTGTCTAGGGCCCATGAAAATGTTTTAACTTCTTTTAACGTCAGAAGAAAAATGAACTTTTAGGGTCAAAAATTATTTTCATCTGTTTAACAACACAGTTGTAAAATATAATTTTTAACATATTTTATGGAGGGAGGGCCCCACAAAGGCAAAGTGACTAGGGCCCAAGGAAGTCATTATATGGCCCTGCGCTACATTCCCCAGGGAGAGGACCTACTCTTCTCAGTAAAGGCAGCTCATTGCAACTCTGATTCTCAGTGGGAGACGAAGGGACTCTGTATTTTGAACCTCTGCCCATCCCTAGAGTTTCCTCTACCACTGCAGCACTGAGAAATCGTGTTAGAAGATTCCATACTCTTCTGTTCCCAGAGTTCTTTGTTTCCGTATCTATTGCAACAGCACATCGATTGTCATTTGTCTGTGTATGTATCTAGTCTCTTACTAGACTTCAAGCTCCTCTAAGGTAGGAGGACTTTGACTCTGCTTTCTGATCTCTGTACTTGAGTGGTTGAAAATATGCTGGCTCAAGGAACATTTGTGAGGGAACAAATGATATCCTTTATCGCCTACTCTAACCACTATCGTTATAAATATCTCTGCCACTTTGGGTAGAAGGCAGAGGAGAAATGATGAACAGGAATAGGACACTGGCAAATAGTATTTTCTTAACTGTAAACAGAAACTTCAAGGCGAGGCTGAGGGTAGGGAGGCGGACTCGCTGTTACTCCTGGCCGGGCCAACATCAGGATTCAAGACCTCAGGCCCTGGACTTGGGTCTGTCTTCTCTGTGGGATCTCTGTGACTCTTTGTGCAGTTAGAGGAGTTGGTACCCAATAGGTGAGACTCAAGGCTGAGAGTAAGGTAGGGTGGGTTTAACCTAAGTCTGCTGTAAGGCCTAAAATGTAAATTATTAGATTTTTTTATGGGTGTGGCTAAAATACCATCACCTAAAAGTCTGTATTATAATGCAAGCATTTTACCTGGGGGAGAGTAAGATGTTAAATAATTAATGTCTTAAATGCAAAGCAGAAGTTATTTTATCAATTTATTATCATAGAGCAGCTGCGAGAGAGTAGGTAAATTTTGTTGAGTGGTTGGATAGAAGCCAGAAGTCTTGGGGAAGGTGCAGACTGGGCGTGTGCTGGAACATGGTACCTGCAGACACTGAGAAGAGCCTGGGCCTTTAAGGCTGGAGTTCCATTTTCTCTGAGGTGGGCCCTTCCAGGAGAGCTCAACTTTGTTGTAAGGGTTGAGGACATCTCTTTTAATAAAATGATGAGTTTTCTGATACTTAGCTCAAATGACTATTTTCCTTTTCTCTTACTCAATCCCAAGTATGTTTCAGAGAGGAAGGAAGGGAAGAGAGGAAAAGTCCTGACAGAAAGTGACCAGATTGGGTGCTAAACCTGAGTTCTAAGCTTGAGGAAAACTGAGACTTAAGGGTAGAGAGGAAAGTCCTTTTGCTGAATGTAAGAAAGAGACCCAAGGAGCTTTTGTGGTTCACATATAACACTTACAGATTTCTGAAGGAGCATGAGAGGACTCCAGTATAAGCCCCAAGAAAGAGGGTGGGCAAGTGAATTTGACCTCACCTGTGGATCTCTGTTTATCTGTTATTTTTCCCCATCAATAGTTGGGTACAGAATTTTAACGGCGAACAAATTGTTGACTCTGCCTTTATTTACACGCAGCCCTCAGCTTCAGTATTTGTTTCCTAAATTCATTTATTCTTCTATCTATCTTTGTTACTAATTTAGCAACAGTCTTTGGAGTGTGTATAGTGCTGGGCTAGGTTCTGGGGGTAAACGGTTGAATAAGAAGTGGCCCCTACCTTGGGAAAATTTCCAGCTCAGTGGGAGAAGACACTATTTATTTTTCAAAAGGAGATATGTAGGATGTAGGATGATATGGGGACCTAGAAGAGGGAAAACTCTTTATCATCAAGGATTCCTGGTAGACAAAAAGTTGTTATTCTTGGCACAGACTTAGAGTCAAAAAGAAAATCCATGTCTATAATATTACTCCCACTTGTTAATATGATAACATCTCCTAATAGGATTAATAGCTATTAGTTTAATGAATAAATATGTAAGATGAGAACAGAAAGATCAATGCATGCCCAGTCTGCCAGTATATTGTTCAAGGATGGCTCTCTGGCAGTTGTAAAACATAAGTGTGTGCAATTGTGTGTAACATATTATCCTTCATAGATTTGTTGTGGAGGAGAAGGGAAATATGAATAGTAACAAAACTATACTTCAAGAGAAAATTTATTGTATCTCTGAATAATGTGTAAATCCATATGTACCTATTAATATGTGTATCAATTTATTATATGCCATTGGGAGAATCTCTAGCCCCACAAAGAATAAAATGTATTTTAAACTCTCCATAAAAGTATAATATTTAGTTAATAGGCTTTGATCTTCCTGAGTCTCCAGCAGCTCCTGTTTAAGTAGTTTATGACAAGTCAAAATTATTCAAAAGCATATTCTGAGGGGGGCCAGCCCCATGCTCGAGTGGTTAAGTTCGCACGCTCTGCTTCAGTGGCCCAGGGTTTTGCCAGTTCGGATCCTGGGCATGGACATGGCATTGCTCATCGGGCCATGCTGAGGCGGCATCCCACATGCCACAACTAGAAGGACCCACAGCTAAAAATACACAGCTATGTACTAGGGGGCTTTGGGGAGAAGAAGGAAAATAAAATCTTTTTTTAAAAAAAAAAAGCATATCCTGAAATGAGAAGATGCCAGAACCTCTCAAGGTCAAACACATTTCTAGCACATTTTAATTTTTCTGAGACAAATAAAAAATAAAAGATGACTTTCATGTCACTGATGTCTTCTAGGAGTAGTTTTTCTTTCCTAGGCAAATTACTGCCCGTTTAACACACTCCCTGAAATATGCTTAAAATATACCATTAAAATATATTAATACGTTAGAAAAAGTATTCTTTATTTTTTTTAAGATTGGCACCTGAACTAACAACTGTTGCCAATCATCTTCTTTTTTTTCATTCTTCTCCCCAAAGCCCCTCAGTACCTAGTTGTAGATTCTAGTTGTGAGTGCCTCTGGTTGTGCTATGTGGGATGCCACCTCAGCACGGCCTGATGAGTTGTGCCATGTTGGCGCCCAGGATCTGAAACGGCGAAACCCTGGGCCGCTGAAGCAGAGCGCATGAACTTAACCACGTGGCCATGGGGCCAGTCGCAAAAAATGTATTCTATTTATTAAATAAATATGTAAATCCACAAGGGAATGAAATCCTATGTTATTTATTTGCATTCCAGGAGAATTCCCAAAACATCTGTAGGAGAGATTATTCCCTTCCCCACAGGCTGCTTATCCAACACTTTGCAGATTTCAAAACATCTGAAAATTCTATTGAAGCTGTAGATGGTATTTCTTTGATTTTGTTCTTAGCCTTGCTCCGTTGACTTGCGTTCCATAAACTGGGACTAATTGATCCCAAGTAAAGTATTAACACATGTTTTCAACATCAAAACATTTAGAGGAAAATCCAAATGGAAAAAAATTAAGGCAATTTGCTCCCTTTCCGTGTGGCATGGCGTGTGGAATGAGCACTGGGGTAAGGTTCTAGCCTCAGTTCTGTTGTTGACTGACCACAGGCAAGTCAAACTTCTCTGAGCGCCAGTTTCCTCATTAGTAAATAGAGAGTTGGACTACATGACTTTTAAAGTTTCCGGTTGCTCTAATATGCTCTGATTCTATTCTTTCTATTCTTTCAGAGAATCTCTGATCTGTTTCTTTGGTCATTGAATTTCTATAATCATTGCTGCTAAATAAATTCTGAATGGCAATCCTGTATTGACTATCTAGAGACTAGAGGAAGGTATTGAAGATAGTTAAAAAATTACAATTCAGGACCTAAGCAAGACATTAAAATGGAACAGCAGATCTATTTCAAGAATGACAATGATGCTTTGCCAACCTATGAAGTCTTTAAATTCAGGTGATAGTGACCAGCAAAGCTCCATTTTCCATGTAAGACTGAGGCAGCGGAAATGTTACTGAACTACCGTGAGAGACTTGACTTAGTTACAAATATGCTGTTTTTGAGGGTATGAAACACAGCAAGCTGCTACAGAGGAAGTGTTGCAAAATCTTTTTTCCTTATGACCCTTAAAAGCCATACAAAGATCTGGGTGAGAGAGTCATGACAGCAGGCGAGAGGACGCAAGCTACCTTCCCAAAGACATTTTCTCATCTCAGGAAATATCTATGAGGAGGATTTGGTGCCCTCGTCAGAAGGGCTTTACCTAAACTGAATTTAATTGAGAGAGAATTAAGTTTTGTGTCTCTGGCTGAAAAATGCTAATACACAGCACTTGAAAAGAGATTTCTAAAGGGAAAGATGAAATTGTTTTGGATTGTGTATTATTTCAGGTTTCCCAACTAAACTTGTTGGAAGGAATGGACTGGCTTTGGAATATATGTAGGAGGAAGGACAATGGAGGTCTTCCTCTTACCCTAGTTCAGAATAGCTTGATTCTGGTAGACGGCAACTGTGTTTGAGAGGATTTATAGGCTTGAGAGTGTTAAGGGCAAGGAAGTACCTGGGAACATGTTGGTCCAGACCTCATTTAACAGATGAGGAAAGTACACCCAGCAACACGAAATGAGGTGGCCAGAGGCACACAGTTGCCTAGAAGGGACTGAGATAGCCACCCAGGCTTTATAAGGCTAGACCAATGTATCACTGGCATTGTGAAGTTCCTGGAAGGGAAAATCCAAAAGACGCAGAGTACCAACTCTTCACCAAGGGTGGTACTTACAGAAACTGTTTAGTATGTTACTGGGTTAGCTTGCACTGTGTCCCCATGCCACCTAGCAGTGTCAGCTGTCACTCACATGCCTCTTTCTCTGCCAGGTCCACTGCAACAACATGTTTGCTAAAGGTGTGAAGATCTTTAAGGAGGTACAGTGCTACTTCCGCTCTGAGGCCAATGAGTGGGAACCTAATGCCGTCTCCTTTCCCCTTGTCCTGGATGACGTCAACCCCAGTGCTCGCTTCGTCACCGTGCCTCTCCATCACCGCATGGCCAGTGCCATCAAGTGCCAATACCATTTTGCTGACACCTGGATGATGTTCAGTGAGATCACCTTCCAGTCAGGTTGGGAGCTCAGGGGCCCTAGGGGAAGTGGGAGCAGGGTAGTGAGGGAGGCAGGCACATGTCTGGAGCTTCTCATGGTCAGGTCTCTGGGAGGAGGAGGCTCGTACAGGTGGCTTCTCCTTGGTGGATAGAGGGAATCTTTTGTGCAACTAGTTTTAAGTGTGGAAGGGCAGAGATGAGACTGGAAGTGGACAGAATATTTACTTGGCTCTCACGTATTTGCCTAAAAGAGGTGTAAGATAAAGGATTTAAAATAATGAGTCCAATGTGTTAAAAACTTTGTATAAATTAAGTCAGTTAAGGGGAAGCACACCTAATGAGCACTACTAAAATGTTTAAATGAAAATTTATAAATAAATAACATTGATTTGTAGCCGCTACCTTCTGTCATCCAGTAGACTGGATATTATATCTACAGGCTAATTTGAATCAAGTTCAGTATTTATTTTCATCAAGGATTTTTCGTAGACAGTGCTGTGTACTTGGTGTTGAGCCCCATCACTGGGATGCGATGCTAGATTCTCTGACTTTTAGTGACGCTGAGATATTAGTGATACTCAGGTGGTTACCTCTTCAGGGGAAATTTCCCCACAAACTTCTACCTTAGGTTTTACCCTCCACTGATGACCACTGCTCGAATTACTTATTTCACTGGGGATTGCCAAATGGTGATTTCCTAATTCTGTTATTCCTTCTGCATTTATTAGCTGAATTTCTTCTGAATAGAAGAACTATTCCTCAGGTACTTGTTCACCCTGAGGTACAGTTCACCTTGGAAGGGCAGCATTACATGATTAATTATTTCTCCTCATCAATTTTGAGTAATGAGTTGATGCCCTAGCAACCTTCCATGGTGTCTACTGAGTTTTGATTTTCATCCTTGTTTTTTTTCAGCATCATTATGCATTCATTGCTTTTTATAAATTCAATATGTTTAGTCAATTGCTATTATCCTTCTTTTTGATGCTCAAATTGTCCTATGTTTGACCAGTGCACACACCTTTAAGCTGGCTCTGTGTTCTTCGGATTGGACCCTATAAGCTTTTCATAACTATCTTATTTTCTGAAATAGCAAGATGCCCCAAGCTCATTTTGAACATTTACTGCCCTAGATGTGAAATCAACTACTTCCTCAAGCAGTATTGGTTCCTTTGAGTGGGGAATGGTATTTAGAGACCACAAACTGGGCAATAGGGACTGTACTTAGTCTTGAAAAGTTAAAAGGCGTTTAGGAAATTGTCTATACCACCATAATTTAGATGGGGATACAAACTCTATACAATGACTTTTCAAAAGATGCTCAAAGTGGCACCAACGATAAGTGGTCAGAAGGAGAAAGGCCACTAGAGAGTAATTTGTAACGCTCAGTGTCAAAAGAGTGGAAGCAAAGCACATATAAGCAAAAAATAACAGAAGAGAGGAGGAGAGACTAATTTAAAGATAAGCCAGAAGATCGCATACTTCCTGATTAGATTTTTAAAAGAAGAAAATTGTGAGATGGTTTGCTCATTAAGATGTACTGATAAGGATATAGAACATATGCTTAGAAAAACAGGTTTGGTGCCTCAATGCCTTCTGTTATAATGATTTAATCTAAGAGTAAATGACTGATTATTTTATGTGAAGTTTTTATTAAGAGCAGAAATTTAGATGTTCAAAGGCAGTGTCATTTACATCGTAAGTGTTAACTGGGGGACAATAGATTTCCATCCATGCTCAAGGATTCTCTCAGCAGAGTAATTGGTACACTTATCTTATCATAGCTAATTATAGCTTTGGATGATAGTTTTTGGCTTCTGGAATCTCCTAAACTTTAAATCCAATGTCGTGACAATATTAATTTTCTGTGGAGCCAGAGGACCCATTCATGTAGATGCCAAATACCTCCCTATTTATACAATAGTGCTGAGAAGAAGAAAAATTAGGATTTCTGGAGAAAATGTTTCTTGGAAGGGAAATACATATTCTAATTCTTGGCCTCCTTGATTAGACAAATCAGAGGGCAAAATGAGTTGCCAACATCAATCTGGCAAATACGCTTTTGGGGTCTAAGAAGCTGCAACATCACAGCAAAGGGCATTGTAATATCAATAATCTATAAGGATGAAGCCTTAATTTATAAATTAAAGGGCTAGGGCAATAAAGCATAGTGAAAACCCTTTTATAAACAATTTAACTTCCTTGAAGGAAAGAGCATCTTAGCACTATGTCTATTCCATGCCCACTTAGCCACTGTATTCTCTCTGCGTTTTGCTGAATTTGAGTCTCATTTCCTATGCACAGTTTATTATAATGTGTGGTCACACTCTTCTCAACCACTGTTTCTTAAACTTTTTGTACCATGACACCTAGTACGTGATAAGTTAAACAAAAATTTTACAAAAGAAAAGTTTCCCTTACCACATAGATGAATGGTGGTATTTTTTAATTTACTATATTACGTGATTTCATTTTTAAGAAAGGCTAGTGGCAACCCACTAAGCTGATTTCACAATGTGCTTGCTCACAGTCTGCCTTCAGAAAAACCACTGCATAGCTGTCTTCTCCCAGCTCTGACTTACCCTTGTTTTGTAACAGATGCTGCAATGTACAATAACTCTGGAGCCCTGCCCACCTTGCCTGTGGCACCCACAACCTACGGTACGTGTGATTCCTAGTTATAAAAACTAAGTTGAAGTGATCTCCTGGAGGATGGAGAAGGGTGGAGATTTGCAAAGGCCTGACTGTCTGTGTAGGAGGCTCGATCCCAGGCAGCTTTGTGTGAAGAGTAGCCCTGGAAAGATAGGGCAGTTCACCTCCAAAGTTAAGGGCCTAAACTTACTCTCTTTCCTGCTGGTTCATGTGATTCTTCAGCCCAGGCAGAGTCTAGCATTGTTCCAATTGTTCCATGAAAGTTTGGGAAGCTTGAGGCAAGAACAGGGAAAGGGACATTTCTAGGTAAGACTCATAGTGGGGATCTCAATGAAAGAGTGGAAGTCTGTGAAACAAAATGCTAGTCTCACTAATTGGAGAGACATATGCAAAAGTATATCCACACATGAGTGAAATCATATGGTGTTTGTCTTTGTCTGCCTTATTTCACTTAACATAATACCCTCAAGGTCCATCCATGTTGTGGCAAATGGGATGATTTTGTCTTTTTTATGGCTGAGTAGTATTTCATTATATATATATATACCATATCCTCTTTATCACTTCATCTGTTGATGGGCACTTGGGTTGTTTCCACGTCTTGGCTATTGTATACACCTGAAATTTGCACAATGTTATAAGCCAATATGACCTCAATAAAATAATTTTTAAAAAGTATATCCATTGCTTCAGACAGTCACTGGCCATATGAGCCAGCAATCTGGGAAACACGTATGATCGAGTGTCTCCAAAGGGGACTCAGGAACCTTGGCTTGTCTCAAAGAATGCAAATTGTGAAACTGGTTCTTCATCTGTTTTTCACAAGGTGTGATTAGGAGTCAGTAGACCCAGGTTTTGATAATAAAGGAGGAAAATTTTGGGACAAATGGAAAACCTCTCCATTATCCAGTCTGATACATGAGGATGAAGAGGCTACTGTCCCATAGAGGAGGTCTGTAGGATATAGGAGCAAAGTAATACAAAAGTAGCAAGACCAAGAGGAAGCAGAAATGTTACAGTGCATTTTGTGGAATTATCCTGAAGGAAAAGGTTTTACCTCCTTGTATCCGGTCCAATCCCTCATACTTTTCCTTGTCCCATGAAATGATAATATTCTCCATCTTTTTCTTCCTGGTCACAGATCCAATGCTTAAAGTTGATGACAGCAACACTCGGATCCTGATTGGCTGCCTGGTGGCCATTATATTCATCCTCCTGGCCATCATTGTCATCATCCTCTGGAGGCAGTTCTGGCAGAAAATGCTGGAGAAGGTGAGGAGGTGCAGAACAATCATGGGTTAGGAAGCTGCTCTTCCCTTTCCTAAGCCACTGTTATCCTGGGAGTAACTGGCAAATTACAAAAATTTGTCAATGGTCAGAGTTAACTAAGGCTACCAAGAAGCACAGGAATGGAGAAGCTTGTTCCTGAGAGTAGGCAGAAAAGAATAAGCTAAGTCCATTTTCTTATTTTTAGAATGGAGATCTTGGAACCTCCCTAGCTAGATCAGAAAACTCTTACCAAAACATTGAATTTCAACTTGGGCATCCCACTTGAAGATTTAGATTCACTGAGTTTGGGAGAGAGTGCAGGCATCTGTATTTTTTTAAAAAATTAACAAGTAATTCTGATGCACAACCAATACCTAGCTAAAATTTCTGATAATGCTGTTCCTTGTCTTCCTTTTCTGTTTGCTTGTTTGGTTTGAGTATGTGTATGTGTGTGTGTGCATGTAGAAAAACAGCCAGTCTCATTAATATCCAAGCCAAGTTTCTCACAATTCTATTCCTACTTCTTTGTGTACTTGAAAGTTATGACTATGCACACCTGAGTCCCTCCTCAGATTCTTTTTATCCATGCCAAATTATCTGAATAAATTTTTATTACATTTGTTTAACACTTTACAATCTACAAAGACTTTTTTTCACATGTATCATTTTACTTGAACCTCATTGAATAATGGTGAGTTAGGCATAGCAGTTCTATTTAACTGTTTTTCTGATGAGAAAATGTGATATGCTCAAAGTCCTTCAGCTAATATCCTGTTTTCTATGCTCATTCCAATTGTCAATATTGAAATATGTTGACTTCTTTTTTTCCAAAATATGTGCATTCCACCAAAGAAGGAATATCTATGACTTTTCTTGGTTTCTTAGGCCAAATAGCAGCTCTCTGGGCACTGTTACTAAGTATGTGATGCTCTTGGGTTCTGCTGCTGATTAAGTGTTTATACCTTTGGCCGTGGATCCCTTCCCTGTTCAATGACTTCAAATAGACCTGGACTGTGAGAGGCCATAGAAACTCTGGGCTGTGAGGCTTTGAACTGCCCATCACAGGGAGGGAACAGGGGGGAGGGTAGAGCCTATGTGGAGTACATGCCAGAAGAGGGGCAAGAGCACCATGACGATGGACATGAATCTCCAGAACTCTTTGAGTGTAGGAAAGGAAGGAAGGGGCTCAAATCAGAGAAGTGAGGGAAAGACCCAGACAAGTAGCCTGAAATTCCTTCTAATCTGTTCCACATTCAGTGGAGATGGTTGAGGTTTATTTTAAGGCTTTTGGGCAGGACTATTTCACAGAAGAGAGGGTCTTTTTGCTTCCCACAAGGACCTTATCATCAGTCCGTAAACACTTTACCTAATACAAAGCTTTCAGTCCATTAATAGAGACTGAAGACTGAAAAGCCGAATCCATAGAGAGCTTACCACTGGCATGATGAGGCAGTATCAAACTTTTCTTCTTTCTTCTTTTATCAAAACCTTTCCAGAATTCTGGAACACTCTGGGTATCTAAATTCCAAGGTGAGGAATAGTTAAGAGTGGTAGCGTTGGGAGCTGGTGATCTGAAGGTTCATTGGAAAGCTTGAAGCTGGTGTATGTCCATATTGAACAGTCTGTTATGACTGAATTTTAGTTAGGGGGGAGGGTCTGTGTACTCTACTCTATGAGCTGTTTTTCTCTTTGAGCCAGAACTTACCATACTTGTCTGGATTTTTCTTCTGGGTCCCATTGGAATATATTCATGGGCTGAAGAGAAATGTTCATTTGGAGACTCTCTGGGTAAAAGGGAAAGCAAAAATTTGGCCCTTGAATATTTAACTTGGCCCTTCAAGAAATTCTTTCTACAGCTGTACATCCTGAGTAAGATAACTCAAGATGCTCTGAAATGACAAAGGATTTCTTCCTGGGGCCAGAATTTTCTGTGGAAAACCCTCAAGCATATACATAAATTCCAAGAAACATTACTCCAAACAGCTTTATATTATAGCATTATTTGTAGGATAATTTTGATGGTGTCCTCAGCATTCTTTCTTTGAGAAACTCTACCCATATTTATTGAATACCTTCTATGTGCTGGGCTCCATGCTCAGTGTTGGGGATATTACTGTAACAAAGAATCTTTCGGTCTAAGGGATGAGGCAGACATCTAAGTTTCTTCATTGAGCATCCAAAGTGTATTTGCTGGAGTGGAGCATTTGATATGGTTAAATCCAAATAGTTATATATATTCAGATTCTGGAATTTTCCTTTCGAAGGCAGGCAGGTCACATTAGATAGAATGCCGAAACAGTTAGTTGTTTTATTCTTCTTATTCTTATATTAGGTGTAATTCACCTTGATATTTCCAGACGCTTAGGGCTTTCCTTTCCTATTTTGTAGACATTTTACTTTTGGTTCATAAAACTGCAGGGTCGAGGGGGTATTTCCTTAACCTACAGTGCCAGAGTGATCAGTAATAAATCAGTAATTTATGTCTACAGAAAATCAAAGCAATTGTAGGATAAGTCAGCAAAATCCATTGTTTAATAGGACATTGAAAACTCTGTAAGATTGAGAAGTCCTTTGATTGGCTCCTGATAGGTTCTTATAACATCGTGGAAATACTGCTTATGAATGCTTCAATGAAAGTTAATGAATGTTGGCAGTGTAGAAATTTGGAGGTCAAATTCTGTCTTGAAGAAATGAAGGATTATTCTAAGTTTCTACAACATAGGCATTTGTAGAACAGATGGCGTTCCTGTCACTTGCAGTGCTTCTGCAGTTTGAGTATTAATGAGTTATTTCATCCGAGTGGAAGAGCTGAGTTTAAGAAGAGGACGTGATGATTCCCTTTGTACTAACATGCCTTTCTCCCTATCCTTCTCCTTCAGGCTTCCCGGAGGATGCTGGATGATGAAATGACAGTCAGCCTTTCCCTGCCAAGCGAGTCCAGCATGTTCAACAATAACCGTTCCTCATCACCAAGTGAGCAGGAATCCAACTCCACTTATGATCGCATCTTTCCCCTTCGCCCTGACTACCAGGAGCCATCCAGGCTGATACGAAAACTTCCGGAATTTGCTCCAGGGGAGGAAGAGTCAGGTGAGGATGAAACAGTGGGCAGAGAATTGAGGGAGAAGCTTTGATAAGCATTATGAAGGTGTGACACTATTGCTCCTACTCAACCAAATCTAGTTTCAGTCTAGAGAAGTCTACATTCTCCTGAGAAGTTCACCCTCTCTTTCTAGACTTGGTCTGCTGCTGCTCTTAGCCTAATCTGAGGGCTTCTCCTTTGCTACTGTAAATAGCAGATGTTTGGAAGGACCCACAGTCAAAAGAGGAAGAAAATAAAAAGAGTTACTAAGGTGTTAACACCGGAAGAACATAAACAGTCCAACTAGTTCAGTCTCCTCCTTTTACGTAAGAGTAAATTGAGAAGGCCCCCAGAGAGTACGCACCCAATACCAAACATCATTTGGGGTAAATTCAGGACTAGAATTTCACTTGGAAAAAAAAATAATAAATGAAGCTAAAGACATCCAGAGATTCCCAGTTTCTTAGCCATCTGGATAATTGAGTTATCTAATTTTTGTTGATTTCTCTTTGGTGAAAATTTATTGGAATAACACAAGATTTTGTTACGAGAGTAGGTATTTCTTGCCTTTTCCATAAAAGCATTGCTTTGGTAAAACAGTGCCAATTGATTCACATCCCAATGTTTTTAAAAAGTGGAGCAGAGTGACATCAGAAGGGACTCTGGGGTCATCACTGAGGCTCAGAGCAGCTTTTCCATGAGATTAGCAACTGAAAGTGGCCCAAGTCAATAGAAGAAGACTTGTGTTGTTCAGGAGAGAGTTAGGTGGAGAAGGAGACAGGACTAAATGTGAAAGCATAGGCTTTCCAAGGAGTCTTTCTGAAGAAAGAAAGGAAACTGACACGGATTCATCACTCAATAGATAGCAAACTTTGAAAGAGATTGAACTCAGGAAATTTTACAGAGACAGCAAGAAAAAAATATAAACTAATTTATTTCCTAGGCTGAACTGAAGTAATGTGCCTATTTTCTGAAGTCTAAAATATCCCTCTCCCCTCATATTTTAAGTCAGATGCGTGTTAAACTAGATCATATAAATTTAATCAGAAAGTTTTTTAATCCCTAAAATAGGCTATTAAATCAGTGAGAGTGTCTTAAAATTAAGAAAATATGCTATTAAATCTTCAACTTTTAATATTCCCACTCTTGTATATCGTGAACCTTTTCATAGCTTCACCACAGCTCGGCAAGATTAGTCAAGGAGATTGTTAATGACCATGTAATATGAGGAGAATAAAAAGATAAACTGATGCCCTGCATTCTGAAGGCCCCAAGGGTGTCTAGAGGAACCATTCTCTAAATAAGAATGTCATGGAGTAGATTAAGCTGTCTTAAGGGCATGTTCTAGCCCTCCTCTCAGATTTTCTTCCTTGAAGAGATCTCCAAAGATGCCCCTTGGAATGAGACTCATTGCCATTGTCTTCCCAGGCTGCAGTGGCGTTGTGAAGCCTGTCCAGCCCAATGGGCCTGAGGGGGTGCCCCATTATGCAGAAGCTGACATTGTAAACCTCCAGGGTGTGACTGGAGGCAACACCTACTCAGTGCCTGCTGTTACCATGGACCTGCTCTCAGGAAAAGACGTGGCTGTGGAAGAGTTCCCCAGGAAACTCTTAACTTTCAAGGAGAAGCTGGGAGAAGGCCAGTTTGGGGAGGTGAGTTGAATCTTTGAGTGGGCCCTCCAGTTCTTGGTAGCTCAAAGGAAGTGACTGAATAAAAATGGTTGGTAGAGCAAAGTGTCCCTTTCAAAGTGGATTCACACCTGAATGTCTCCTCCACTTGTCTTTCCTTGCATTGTCCTCTAGAAGACTAGAATTGGATCAACCTCATCTTTCTCAAATAGCTGTGGAATTTCTGGGTCTTCTGATTGTTGTATAGGAGTTTTTAAAGCAGACAAGTCACTAGACTTCAGTTATCCTGAAAAATAGTCAATATTTTCAAAAATTTTTACAATAGGCTACAGAGGGTGGAGACCCATAAAGATGTGATCATCTTTTATAAACTGTCCAAGAACACCCTGCTATTTGATAGCCACTTTGTTTTTTTCTTTTTAATGGGAGTTTCATGTAAAATGGTCAAAAACAACCTCCTTCCTGCCTTTGGTCCCAGAACCAGCCACTAGGGACTGAGTCACCAACTAAGATAAGGAGGAGCACGCTTCTTAATTGCCCTCAGAGTGATGCATGCAATATTGGACTTTTCACTCTTACGTCAGTTACATGAACCTTCTGAGAACTCAAAGCAATGATTTAAGTTTAATAAGAATGAGTTATTGGTTTTCAGGGTGGGTGGCATGCTTTACCCTTGGGGAGGTTTGGCGCTGGTGGAGTTGAAGGGTCTGTGGTATCTGTTGTGGTGTTTTATGCACTCCTTCTGTCCCCAGGGTTGAGAACACAAACTCGTTATACTGTTATAATACATAGGGGTTACTTCTAATGCTCATCCTATACTAAGGGATTACCTTAGAAAGGAAATTCCCCTAGGGTTGTATGATCCAGTAACTAAACTTCCTTGAATCAGAGTTCCAACATTTATACTGAATGGCATTTTATAGTGGGCCGTGCTGTAATAAAATATTATGTAATAGATTCATTCATTCACATATTTAATGTGCCAGTCAATGTATATTTCTTTTATAAAGCAGTAACATATCATATTAGCTGGATACTTTACCATTGTTTTTTAATCAATTATTTGAATCAAAGATATGTTACACATACCTTCTTACTGATCTTTTGATGATTTTTCTTGAGTTGTAAGAGTTAGTTTATCTCCAGGAAATGCCCAACAAGAGTACTGAGACATCTTCAGGAGCAATGATGATGCTGAGATAGATGACTTTTGTCTAGGTTCATCTCTGTGAAGTGGAGGGAATGGAAAAATTCAAAGACAAAGATTTTGCCCTAGATGTCAGTGCCAACCAGCCTGTCCTGGTGGCCGTGAAAATGCTCCGAGCAGATGCCAACAAGAATGCCAGGTCTGTGGTCTGCATTTTGAATTTTCCTTTATGTATTTCATCCTCAGGATCAGGAACACTCCTGGAAACTTCTGAGCAATTTTTTCTTTTGAGATCGGAAGGTCTGTGAGCTGCCTCGCATTTTCATTGTTATGCTTTATTTTTCTGATGGGTCATCTTTGTTCTCCATCTTTCTCAAACTCAAATGTACATTTCCCACTGTATTTGCTACATATTTACTTCCTACCCCACTTTTCACAGCACTGTACTTTCCAACATACACAACAGTCTGAATGTGTACTTCAATCATTATGTACAGACATTCTCCTGAATGTCATTACCTCCTCTTGGCAAACTTTTGAAAATCATGCACATCTTTCTTGCTAAGTCTCCTCCATTCTTCTTTTTTTCCCATTTCTGTTTACTTTCTCATCCCTTTTTTTCTCTTTTATGCTTCTTTTCTTCTGTGTCCAGCAAGCCCCAAAATGAGAAGCTACCTCTACTCGGAAAAGTATCCATGGACCTCAAAGCAAAAGGATCCACAGTCCTTTAGCAGTTTTCCAAACTGGCTAATTGCATAAATTGCAGTTTCCAGCCATACTTCGTTGTCTGACAGCCTTTCATTACAGTAATGGTGAGTTAATCCTCACCCAGAGAGGCATGCTGATTGCAAGCTGGTGGATGTGTCTCAGAGAAATCTGCACATCTGGGTAACAAATGCATGTTCCCATTTGTGTTGGCCTGATTTGTCTCATTGATATTCAAAGTGAGAGAAAGTTTGTTATCCCTATTCCCGAAATTATTGTAAATTTCAAGAAATGTCGTAGGGTTCCATTAAAAGTCTTGCAACTGGCAGGATGTGGAATGAAGAAGACAGAAATACAAGGGAATGGAACTGTGGAGGTTTTGGAATTTTAACTGAGAATTTCGATCTTAAGGATACTAGTATGAATGAAAAGTGACATCCTCTGGTTCCCCTAGAGAGATGGAGTATTCCTAATATTAATTTTAGCACATGATTGGAGAAAGTGGTAAGGAGAAAGAAGAACCACAGGATATGACAAAGTCTTTACCCATTGTTTTGGTTGGTGAGGTTTGGTGTCCCTCCACCTGTGCCCACTCCAATTTAACAGTTGTGGGTGGCCTAGACTCTGGGCCCTGCCAAGCCATGGAAACCTCCGGTTTGGGATAGAAGGGAGAATGAAAGAGGGGAGGTGTTGCATCAGGACTACACTGATTTCAAGGGTTTTATATTGACATGCTATGACTTGCAGTCCAGGATTCCTAGAAAGCTCACAGAAGACTTATAACTGATCTGCTCCAACAGTTGTGAGAATGTGGGCTACTGGTCTCACTAATTCAAATAATGTTACTGGGAAGGTTACAGCCCACTTTGTGACTCAAGGGTGCCTGTCACCATTTACTCAAACAGATACTAGTCTTGGTCAAGTGAGTACATCTTTTGAAATAACCCCCCACTGCCACCAAGACCTTTAAACTGCTCTGCTTTGAACAGGCTACTAAATGTATGTTGCAACTGGCTGCTGGTGTACCCTGTATTAAGAAAAAGCCAGTATGAGAAAATAAAGAATTATCAAATAAACCAGAGGGTGATTATTCACTTTCTCAAAAGTTTCTTCACTTTCTTAATAGAATGACTCCACAGCTTTTTAAAAAGTTAAATACCCCAGCACACTTAAGATGTGATTTCCAGAATGAAAAGTTTCATTCCACAGAGTACTTTTCAGCAGCATATATTTGATTCAGCAAATAGTCATCATTTTCTATGTGGCAGGTCTTTTGCTGGATACTAGGGATACAAACGTGAATAAGCCATGGTTCACGTTCTCAAAGATTGCAGTTGAGTAAGGGTGCATCATATTCCAGGATGACTAGAATGAGACAGTTTCCAAGTGCCAATTCTCTACCCTCTCAAAGCCTGTCCAAAGGGAAACAAGACGTGGTGTCATGGGTAGGACTAGACTTTGCTGTGTCTTCTTCCTCCTCTTGATTCTAATTCTTGCAACCTCTGGGTTTATCTATGTCTGTGTCCTCCAAAGGAATGATTTTCTTAAGGAGATAAAGATCATGTCCCGGCTCAAGGACCCAAACATCATCCGTCTTCTAGCTGTGTGCATCACTGATGATCCTCTGTGCATGATCACTGAGTACATGGAGAATGGAGATCTCAATCAGTTTCTTTCCCGCCATGAGCCTCCCAGTTCTTCCTCCAGCAATGTACCCACAGTCAGGTAAATAAGCCAGGTGTTCCTTCTCTTCCTTGTGTTCATGAGATTAACCTGGGGGATGAAGATGGGGAGTGGTGAAGCTTAAGGTTCATCAATGTTCTGGGATGGTGGGCGAGGGAAAACAAAGGGATTCATGAAGAATAGAGAAGGGATGTTGAGATTTAAACCCCAGTTCGTTAGCATCAACTTCAGATGTGTACCTTTCATGGCTTCCTTTTTCCATAGGTTACTTTCCCTCTTGTTTCATATTTCCTCAGTTATGCCAACCTGAAGTTTATGGCTACCCAGATTGCCTCTGGCATGAAGTACCTTTCCTCTCTTAATTTTGTCCACCGAGACCTGGCTACACGAAACTGCCTAGTGGGTAAGAACTATACCATCAAGATAGCTGACTTCGGAATGAGCAGAAACCTGTACAGTGGTGACTACTACCGGATCCAGGGCCGGGCAGTGCTCCCTATCCGCTGGATGTCTTGGGAGAGCATCTTACTGGTGAGTTCCCAGCGTTTGTAAGCCCTACCCTAGCAACTGACATGTAGGCAGGGGTGCGTGGTACGTAGGGTCAGCATTCCTTGCCCTGTGTAGGGGAATGGGGATAACTCTAGATTATAAAAATCTAACCTGGGGGCTGGTCCCATGGCTGAGTGCTTGAGTTCGCACGCTCCACATCCTCAGCCCGGGGTATTGCCGGTTCAGATCCTGGGTGCGGGCCTAGCATCGCTCATCAGGCCATGCTGAGGTAGCATCCCACATAGCAGAACTGGAAGGACCTGCAACTAGAATGTACAGCTATGTACTGGGGGATTTTGGAGAGAAGAAGGAGAAAAAAAAAATCTAACCTGCTCTTGTTGTGCACAGGTTATACTGATTTTCTCTTCTTTTCCTTACTTAAACAGGGCAAATTCACTACAGCAAGTGATGTTTGGGCCTTTGGGGTGACTCTGTGGGAGACTTTCACCTTTTGCCAGGAGCAGCCTTATTCCCAGCTGTCAGATGAACAGGTCATCGAGAATACTGGAGAGTTCTTCCGAGACCAAGGGAGGCAGGTGAGACCTGTTGGGGATGGATGGATGTGGACTTGGATGCCTTTGGAGGAGAGAGAAAGGAAGGTTTTGACTTAGCAGGATAGGCCTGAGCTGGAAGATTGGTTACCTGGATGAGTCTTTGGTTGCTAACTATCCAGATAATGTGAAAGGCCAAGGTCCTCCTCGGGCATCATATACTCTGCTTTATCCATGTGTCAACCCGCTGATCATTGGAGGGCATGAGGGGGTCACGTCACAGATACCAACTCAAAGATACCAGGAAATAAAATCCTATCTCTCATGTTTGATCCATTTCTTAATCTAGGCTGTGTGGGTTGTCTGGGTTGAAAAACATAAGAACAAAAACGTAAGTTTAAAAGTGAATAAGAGATTTATTAGCATTGGTTAAAAATTTAGCAATGTTTCTAGACTTATATGCCTAGAGATGATCAGGTGCATCCTGGACTTACTGCTCCTGGAAGGCACCTCTGGGCCCAGCTGTTGTGGCCCCGCAGAGCTCAGGCAAACCTGGGTTTCCAAGCTGACAAAGGCGCCAGTTCCCAGCCAAGATACTCTAAGATTTTTTTGTCTGGCTCAGTTTTTTTTGTTTTGTTTTGTTTTTAAAGATTGGCACCTAGGCTAACAACTGTTGCCAATCTTCTTTTTTTGTTTTCTGCTTTATCTCCCCAAACCCCCCGTACACAGTTGTATATCTTAGTTGCAGGTCCTTCTAGTTGTGGGATGTGGGACGCCGCCTCAGCGTGGCCTGACGAGTGGTGCCATGCCTGCGCGCAGGATCTGAACGCTGGGCTGCCGCAGCGGAGCGGGCGAACTTGACCACTCGGCCACGGAGCCGGCCCCTGGCGCAGTTTTTAAAGTTCCTTTGAGATGTGGGATTTGAGGCTTGCTGACGTGGCTGGAGCAGTGAACCTCTGCAAAGTGGCCTGGCTGCAGCACATCCTGGGAGTGTGGTATCTCAAGCAGGAAAATAAAAGTTGGGGAGAGGGCGAAGGCTGTTGCAGAAAGTAAAAAGTGGATCTTCTGTGGCTTAAATAGATCCAAGCAAGCAAAAGATAAGGGAATGACAAAGGATAATGCAATACGCAGTTTGAAAACAAGAGGGAGGGGTTCTGGAATTTAATTTTATCTGGATTCTCTGTAGATATTTTGGTATTAGGGTATCTAAATTATCTTGGTTGTGAGGTAATTGCTTTCTACCATGGCAAAAGGCAAACTTACTCCTGTGTGCATGAGATAAATGAGTGGACCAAGGAAAAATGTCGTTTTTTTCTTCTGGACTAATACATCGTGGGCACCAGGTGGACCTACGGGAAGTCCTATGGCCAATTAAAGCTGGTGCTTGGAAGTCTATGACAATAATTTCAATAATTAAAAAATATACTTGACATTTTTGTTTTCAACTTATCTTTATAAACTGTGAAGAATTCCCAGATAGTACTTTTCTTCAAAGTTCATGGTCTAGATGGAATTAAATAATTAAAAGTTAAATACAGTTTTAAAAGTCTATGTTTTTAATGTTAAGAAAGGTAATGAAATTTCACACATATGATAATTATTATGAAACATAACTTTGATTGTTTGCTAAGTTTATACAATTTTGAAAAGGGAAACCCTAAGAATTTAAATTATTTATTATGTCATTTTTATTAACATTTGTTGGCTCAAAACAGATATAATGTTTTTTCTAAAGTTATTTAGAAAAATAACTTTTCTAGGGTGTTAACACCCCAGAAAAGGCTTAACAGTTTTAAGTTTCACCAGTAGTATATGAGAGTGCCTGTTATCCTGTATCCTTATTAATATTAGTGATATATATTTTTTAATGCTTGGGATTTTGTAGCCATAGTCATTTGTAACATACTGAGTTAGGCTTGTCAGATCTCATCCAATATTCCAACAGGAGTCGCAGTTATTTGCCTTTTTATTTGTTAATTAAGAGCCGATGGCAGAAAGCTCCTTGACATTGGTCTTGGTGATGATTTTCTGGATTTGAGACCAAAAGGAAAGGCAACCAAAGCAAAAAGAAACAAATGGGACTACATCAAACTAAAAAGCTCCCGAACAGCAAAGGAAACCATCAGCAAAATGAAAAGGCAACCTACCAAATGAGAGAAAATATTTGCAAATCATATATCTGATAAGGGACTCACAAAATCAATAGCAAAAAACTAAATAATCCAATTTAAAAATGTGAGGAGAACCTGAATATTTTTCCAATTAAAATGGCAGTAAGTACATCAAAAAGTGCTCAATATCACTAATCATTAGAGAAATACAAATCAAAACTGCAATGAGATATCACTTCACATCTATTAGAATGGTTATTATCAAAAAGACAAGAAATCACAAGTGTTGGCAAGGATGTGGAGAAAAGGGAACCCTTGTGCACTGTTGGTGGGAACGTAAATTGGTGCAGCTAATATGGAAAACAGTATGAAGGTCCTTAAAAAATTTAAAAATAGAACTACTATATGATCCAGCAATTCTACTCCTGGGTATTTGTCCGAAGGAAATGAAAACACTAACTTAAAAAGATATATGCACCCTATGTTCATTGCAGCATTATTTACAATAGCCAAGGCATGGAAGCAACCTAAGTGCCCATCAGTGGATGAATAGATAAAGAAAATGTGGTGGATATGTGTGTGTGTGTGTATATATATATATATAGTGGTATATATATAAAAATAATATATGTATTATACATATAAATGTGGTGTATATATATATATATATATATATACACATATATACAGTGAAATATTATTCATCCATGATAAAGGAAGAAATCTTGCCATTTGTGACAGCATGGATGGAACTTGAGGGCATTATGCTAAGTGAAATAAGTCAGACAGAGAAAGACGAATACCATATGATCTCACTTATATGTGGAATCTGAAAAAAAAAAAACTCATAGAACAGGTTAATGGTTGCCAGAGGTGGGGTGGGGGGTGGGGGAGTGGGCAAAGTGGGTGAAGGTGGTCAAAAGGTACAAATTTCTAATTATAAAATAAGTAAGTCCAGGGGATCTAATGTACAACACGCTGACTGTAGCTAATAATGCTATCTTGTATGTTTAAAAGGTGCTAAGAGAGTACATCTTAAAAGTTCTCATCACAAGAAAAAAATTCTGTAATTTTTTTGTGTGGTTATGACTGTTAACTAGACTTATTGTGGTGTATACAAATAAATCATTGTGTTACACACTTGAAACTAACATGATGTTATATGTCAATTATATTTCAACAAAAAAAATAGTTGATAGGCAGAGGGAATAAGTAGACTCTGGGTAAAGAAGAGCTCCTGTGATGTATGATATAGGCTGGGATGATATGCGAGAAGGCAGGGCAGGAGGAAGTGGTTAATGATTAACCAGCTGCAGACGGACCTATGGTTCAAAGAGCTTGGGAAATTTAGGTATGGTTAAGGAATGTGTCAATATACCAGGATGTTCAAAAACATAGGTAAGGAGATGATAGCAATAGATTACAAGCAAGCAGAAGATGGCCTGGGGGGTCAATAGAGTGGCGTCTTGCAGGTGGAAGTAGTCAGTAACTGATGCTTTGGGAATAGTGCCAAATACAGCCATAGGGTGGAATGCAGGGCTGTAGAGAGGGTAAATGCACAGGTGTTGGTGAACAATGTAAAGAAGAAATCCAATCTTCTCTACCTGGGGCCAATACAGGGGAGAGGGAGCACAGAGGACATTATGGTTAGAAGTTACATGGATACACCCTACATTCCAGTTTCTTCTTCTGGCTAAGATTTTACTCCAATGGAAAAGCTGAGGCAACTAACATACTTTCTGCCCCTGCTGTGGCTGGCTCAACCAAGATAAACCTCCACATGAGTGGGCCATGAATGGAGGATCTGTGTTCTAACCACGTCCTTTCCAGTCTGAGATATCATTTTGCTTCAGTTTCATCTTTTACATGATAGTGGGCACCATGGAATGGCCCATCAGGAAATCCTCCTCCAGAGAACTGGAAAAGACAAAGGAAATGGGCAAGGGACCAATCTGATTTAGAATTCTCATGAGTAGGAAGAATAGATACCATGCCCATTTCAGTTATCAAGTTCAAGAAAGTGGGGAGTGGGCAGTCAAAGTGTGGGGCAAATACTCTTCCTTTTCTCTCCTTCTTCTTAATATTCTCTTTTTTTGTTCATTTTTGTTTCCAAAGACTTACCTCCCCCAGCCTGCCATCTGCCCTGACTCTGTGTATAAGCTGATGCTCAGCTGCTGGAGAAGGGACACCAAGCACCGTCCCTCGTTCCAGGAAATCCACCTTCTGCTCCTTCAACAAGTGGATGAATGATGCTGTCAATGCCTGGCGACATTCTGATGGCCCAGGTCCTCCTCGCAAGACCTACCACTCATGCATGCCTAAGCCACTCCATCTGGACGTTGAATGGGCCTGAGAGAGAGAGGCTTGTTTGCTTTCACCTCTCTCTGACCCTTGTCTCCCTCCACTCCACTCCCTCACTGTCTACCCTCAACCCATATATACATTTTTTTTTTACATTAAAGAACTAAAAAAGAAAAAAAAAAGCCTAGGGCAGATAAAATCTAGTAAAGGAATCTTACTTGATATACCAAATTGTTGGATAAGGAAGGCTAGATAATTTAGATAATTTATAAAGGTTAAATATGCTTGTGTTTATAAATGTGCAGATTCTACAATATTTTTTTTCTGTGTCACCTTTTAAAAAATATTTTCAGAAAGAAAAACTTGAAGAATACTATTTTCTTGGGAAACATGAGATTAGGCTTAGGGAAAACCCTTGGTAAGTGTGGAGAATCTGATGAAATGGTATTGAGTAACTAATCACAGATGGGTTAGTTTCTTAGTTTGGCTTCTGGACATGTCCCATACTCTGCATTTCCCTCTCCTGTCAAAGGAGATGATCCATGCTTGAAAAACCCCAGCTTCTCGGAATGGATGTTTTGTTCATTCATGGGCAGGGGTCAGGGTTGAGGTCTACATGCATGAGAAATACAGAGGATGTGCATAGGAAAGAAAGTCTACAGCAAGGCAGTATGAAGGGGAATTGTCATTTGCAAAGAAAAAGTACCTCATGAACAGAAGGATTCTTGAAGAGAGAATGGGCACGGGAAAAGAGGCCTATGGAGGACAGGTATCCGGTGTGCTATTCTCTTCTGCAGCGGGTCCTCCTCTTTATCTTGTTCAGACATTGTTCAGACATCTTCCAGCTCTTTTAATGGATGAATCACCTACGGGACCTGTGGGCTGGGGGTTGAATTTCTCAGGCATTAATATCTGAAGGCTGTGTACAATAAGGAATAGATCTGTCCTGAGTGTTCCTGAAGGGTTGACCTAAGACCAATGAGGGGAAGTTACAGGGAGATTATTTCCACTCATTAGGGAAAACACAGCCAGAGGCAGAACATACAAGGAGGAGTGGGCTGCCTCCAGAGGTGGGGAGTCCTTTGTCACTGAAGAGGTTCAGATCTAGGCTGAAGAACTAGGCAAGAAACATGTAGGCTTTCAAACACAAGATAAATGGTTGTGTGAGATGATATTTCATGTCTTTCTACCCCAAGTCCTTGAGAGGCGCAGGGTGAGCATGAACGAGAAGTCATCAGGTGCTACTGCTTAGCATACACACTCTTGCCTTGGAGGTAGTATGACCAGCAGAAAAGAAGGCACGAGGCTCTGGTTTCAGAATTCACGGAAACTGATACTCAGTCAACTAAGAGTTCCCTCAGAGCAGATTCTGAGCTTTCACACTCCACAAATGCTCAGATATAGTGGAAAGAAGGAAAAGGGAATCCTCAATTCCTGCTGAGGAGAATCAAGACCAGATTACAGAGTAAGCTTCCCAAGCTTAGAAGAAATAGTCTTAGCCCCTTGGGTCTGCTCTGTTGCCCTCCCCCAGCCCACCTTCTACGCAGTCCCTCCTCAGGAACTGGAGTGTTCCCCCACTTCAGCCTTCAGCACGGCTCCAGGCCACAGCAGAAGCGTAAATCCCAAATCCCCAAGATTCATTTTGCAGGTCATCTTCCTTCTCCTAGCAAATACCCTTTCCCCATCGTTGTTCTGTGACTCTGGTGTCTTGTCTCTTCCAGGACGAACTTTGGAGGGATGGTTGGTTTGGGAGTCAGGAGAGCATTGTTTTGGGAGCTTTGATCTTATTCCTGCCCCAAGCCAAGTGTGTCATCTTGGACAAGTCACTTTGCCTCTCTGTACTTGTGTTTCCTTATCTGTAAAATGAGGAAATTGGATTAGATGTCTGGAAGTCTCTTCCAGTTCTGATATGTTCAGTGCTCCCTGGATAATTTGATGTACAATTGACATGAACTCCGTTACCTGGTCATCTCCTGCCCTGAAAATTGTGGTCAGCAAAAGGGATCATGAGGGGAAGTTACTATAATAGTAGTAACAGTAACACCTGCTAATCGTACAGTTCTTTAAAGTTTACCACAAGTTTCCACATCCATTATCTATTAGGTAGGTGCAGAGCCAGACATGTTGTCTTATACCTTGGGACGTGTCACACTCTGCTTTCAGAATCAGTGCTAACTTTATGTATTATTCAAAGTTCTCTAGAGAAACAGAACTAATAGGATATATATATATATCTCCTATTATATATATATATATACATATATATACATATAATTTATTATAAGGAATTGGCTCACACAATTACGGAAGCTAAGAAGTCCCATGATCTGCCATTTGCAAGCTGGAGGTCCAGGACAGCTGGTGGCGGTGCAGTTCTGAGAACCGGAGGCCAGTGGCATATGTCCCAGTCAAGGGCAAGAGAAGACTGATGTTCTAGCTCAAGCAGTCATGCAGAGAGAGCGAATTCCCCCTTCCTCTGTTTTTTTCTTCTATTCAGGACCTCAGCGGATTTGATGATGCCCACCCACATTGGAGGCCAATCTGCTTTCATCAGTCCACTGACTCAAATGCTAATTTCATCCAAAACCCCCCTCATAAACACACCCAGAAATAACGTTTAATCTGGGCCTTCTGTACCCCAGTCAGGTTGACACAGGAAATTAATCATCACACTTCAAAAGAACTCAAGGGACTTGAAATCAGGGCCTGCAGCCTATTCCCCTTTATCCACATGTCTCTGGTAGGGCTCCTTCCAGACCATGCTGTGACTCCTTATGTGGCAAGAGAAATTAATATCATTTCCCTTTCCTTTGCCTAACATCTCTGCACTTACTTCTTTCTACAATTCTGTCCTCAATTCGTTGCATTTCATGATCCCATATAAAAAAGTCATATTTAAAATTGACTTAGTGTGTCTGGATTTTCCTGGCCTTCAGTCAGAGAAGTAATCTGTTTCAGGTGGCTGGCAAATTTGTATTATCACGTAGAGTTATCCTTTTCTGGGATGAGGAAGGCTCTGTTTTCTGGCACTGAGACTTATATCAGACACAGGTTTAACTTCCAGCCTTGTCATACCCACAGAGCTTAGCAGCATAAATCTAAGAGATGCGACAGAGTCCATGGTGAAGATTTAGCACATAGAATTTAAAAGTAGCTCGAATCTAAATGAGAAGAATGAAGCTAGGAATTACTTAGGAAAGGAGATAGGAAAAGGGATGAGAAACTGTGAGGCCTTGTTACCTCTGTAGTGTTATCCTCTCCATGATGTATGTGAAATATTTTATATCCAGATTGTGGTTTTGCATTGTCAGATTTGAATTTATACTCTTGCTAGTTAATGTGTTGATAGCTAGGTCCAAATCTTGATGTGCTGTCCAGACACATATGTACTCAAAAAGATTTGGAGGGGAAAGAGGCACCCGAGGGAGAAATGTGATTTTAATGCTGTGGAAAGAATACTTGCAAGTGTACAAGACAGTATAACAAAAAGCACTGTATGGAAGTGGAGTCAAAAATGAATAAACGAATGTGCATGTGACTGAACGGGGAGGCCACTGGGGGCTCGAAAGAAGGCTACATAAAAGAGGTAATGGAGAATGCTCCAGAAGGGATGGGGGAAGGTCAGGGCAAGCAAGGTAGAAACAGGTGTGCTGCAGAGAATACATTCTGAAGCATGAAAGCAAATCTCTCTGAAGAGAGATCTGAGAGAAGGCAGAAAAAGTAAGTGTCTTGAAGATAAAAGATAAATATGTATGGAGAAAGAAGGCATTCTAGGTAATAGAGGTTATAAAAATATTTATTAAAAAATGAAAAGTCAGGTGCAGTGTATGAAATGGAAAGGAGCTTTTCAGGGTTTAAAGAACAGGGACGTCCATGATGAACATAAAAACACACCAGCAACCATCAGGGAATGACCTTTTCATTTCAGAGGGAGTGAGGGTCGGCGGCAGTTTGAGCACCTGTGGATTCTAGATAGGCCACTTCAAGTGCTGGGGTTTAATGCTGGTCAGAAGAAAGCAACTCTTTGCCTGAACTGCTTTTGGAAACTCCAAAGAGCTGCTTTGGAAATAAAGACCTAGAGATGGGGAATTTATGGTAGTTCACGGATCTCTGTGTTTCTGTCTTTTGCTTCTGTTAATGAAATCCATTTAAAATAATGCTCATCGTTGCTGTGCCCAGAAAGGCCACAGGGAAACTGAAACAATAGGCTTAAGTTAGACTAGACTAAACCTTGTTTGATATCTGCACAAAGAGGTATGTGCCATGTTGGAACCATGTGTTTTTCTAGTCTCATCCAGGCTTCCCACAAGAAAGCCATGATGTGGGGCTAAGCCATGTGTTTTGAGTAAAAGGAGACAAGAAGGGGAGTGTCTGAGAGAGGGAAAGAGATGAAGATGTTCCAAGGAAATATTCTAAAACAGAACCGCATCTGTTTTGCCCAAAACTACAAAAAATGAAGAAAATTACAGTTAATACTTAGATTACCCCCAATATATGGCTATTAAGTCTTTGATCCTAAATTGAATTTATAGAACTGCCACCTTTGTCTTTTTAGTAAGAACTCTGACCTCTGGCAGTGCATATGGTAGGTCCCTAAATGTTTCTGGAAGTTGCAGACCTCGATCTACACTAGGAAATCCTTCCGAATTGAAATTTAACATTTTTATAGAGGCAGATTAATGTCTTTTCCACTTGGTAAATGTCTTGGAATGCTGAATTGTTAGGGAAAGAGACTGGAATGGTGATTCGATTTCTGGCATTTGAGTTCTCTGCTACAATTAGCTGCATTGCTTGGCGGCAGACATGTGGTGGCTAATTGTTTAGTGGCTGTATCCTTTTTTTTAAACTTGTTATTTAGAAACAGTTTAAGACTCACAGGAAGTTGCAAAAACAGTACAGAATGGACTTACCCTAGCACAGAGCTTTCCCCATTGATATCTTATATAACCAGTGTCCGTTTTCAAAAACAGAAAATTGACATTGGTCTAATACTATTAACTAAACTACAGCCCTTACTCAGATTTCACCAGTTGTTCACACGTATTTATTTCATTTCTGAATACTTTGAACCCATGCTGATTTGTAACCCGTTCTTACTTGGACGCAGTGGGAAAGACACTATCTGGATACAATACTACAAAATTCTAAAGAGAATATAACAAATTAATCTGTTCTTTTATCAACATACAATATCCTGCCTAGAGTGCATCCACATTTCCTGACTAGTTTGGCTGCTTAGCATCTAGAACAAGCCAACAGCAGCTTAGAAGTGTTCAGCAACACAAAAGATAGTAAGACCTGCCCATAGCTTGCTGGCTAGAGAATCAGGTATAGAAGGATATTCTAGATGATTCCTGGAGTCCCTATAAATAAGTAGGATTTGTAATGATGGCAAGGAGAGGACTTTAGGGAAAACTAGTATTTTGGTCAACAGCTAGGTGGCACTTAGTTAATGGCAGCAGAGATAGTTTGTGGAAGGAATAGAGTATCATGGTATAGACCCCTAATGTGTGATAAAACACTATTTTCAGAATAGTAGAGAAATTTCATTTGCCTAAATGTCTGTTCTTAAATGGAATAACAACCACATGGGACCAAATTCAATGCAAACATAGCAGCAACCTGGGGGGAAGTAGAAAGTCTGGTTTCTTGAATCATGATTTAGAGTTTTGTGATGGCATTTTTAAGCTGCCCTACTTAAGGGTCATAAGATTATAACTGTGTTCACACTGCATACCCCATATCCTAGCACAGAGTGAGCACTCAATAAATATTTGCTGAATGTTCTTTTTTGGATGAATAAAAGATGGACACAGAAACTTGTCCTCCACCAGAACTGGGGTGAATTTAGGGAAAATTGCTTTGCTGTGAGGTAGAGGAGGTTTATTTTTGAATGAGGAAAGAGAAAAGGTGTCCAGGCTTGTACCTGGGAAGTACATCCTTCATTCATATATTTTCTGACGGTGAAATTGAGCTATGGAAATACCTTATTCTTTGGGGTATGTGGACAGCAATGCGAGGCAGTTTTCTAAAGGCTACCCCATCAAGAATAGGCACCAGACTCTGGCCTCAAACCCAGCCCATTTGAAATAAGCTTTTTAGTTTCTCCTCCGGACACCTTATCAACAAGTTCACAGGCCTCTAGAGGAGGAGGATCGGAGTCCCAGACCATCCTATGCTTACCCACATCCACAACTGCATGTAAAGGAAGAATTTGCAGAGAGACTCAAGGGAAAGCACAATGGGATAAAGCAATCACTTTGAATAAAAAATTGTTCTCTTGAAAAGAGGCTTAGAAATAATTGAAAGTTGGGAGAATTCCTGCAAACACACCAACAGTTTGTAATCTAGCCTATTCATTTTATGTCCTTTGCTATTCATTGATATTGCTATTCTTCTGCCCTGTTGTCTGGTAACTTTCTGAGGACTGGATTTCTGAAGCAATGTGATGCATTCTTCCCATGAGGAGGAAACATCTGGGCCTCATTCTGCAGGCTTGGGAGGATGATGTGTCTTGTCAAGGGGTAAATAGCAAACTGATTTAATTTTTGCTTAAAACTATCATAGTCATTCCAAAATAGAATGCGTAAAAGTTCTCTGTATTAGAAAAAGAAATGAGATACCAATTGTATATTTTCTTTTCTTTATTTATTCTCTGTAAGTCTGTCAGATGATAAATTGTAAATAACAATGATTAAAGAAATATGCTACTGATGGATCCTTCTTTCTGTGTAAACAGCACAGTTCTGGACTTGTTACCCTCACTCCTTACACTCTTATATCCTTTTTAGAGAAGCGGTGGGGTGTGGGGACAGAGCTGAGGGTGTGTGGTGTGGACACCAGTTTGTTGAGGATATCCAGCAAAGGGTTATTTACATGGGCCACGCACATATTAGTTGACTGTTTATTGGAAGAAAAGCATCATGGTCTCCAGCATACCAAACACACTAGAGATTGAGATTTTCTCAGTCACATTAGTCCAGTGCTAGGGAATCCAGTCCAGAATTAAATGGGGATCCTTTATTGTGGTTGTTACAAAGTTGTCTTGTTTGATACACAAAAATCTCTTCTAAATCAAAATACGGCCTGTCTCAAGACTGCCCACACATTCAAAAAGCAAAAAAACCCACTATGAACAACCAGAATACAGACTCAGCCTTGATAATAGAGATTAGGATGATGCCATCCAAAACAACATGTTTCTTACTTCCCCTGAAGAATACATTATACTTTTAATTTTCTGAGTAATATGAACGTATTTTTTCATTGGAGGTCATGTTAGATAAGGGAATGGATCTAAATCATTCATGAATGTGCACTCATGAATGCACACTCTGTCCCCCAGAGGGTCTGGTTTGATTCCAGGACCAAAGTGCATGGATTCAAGTAAGTGTGTGGTGGGAGTGGGGTTGGGGATGAAGGAGAAAAAAACAGAAACAGGGACAGCAGAGATGTTCCAACAAGTACAACTCTACTGTCAACACCTATTGCCAAGGTTTAAAGGTAGGTATGAGTGATATAGATGTGTCCATGGGTGATACAGCATAGACGTATATATTATGCAAATATCTGAATATATAATTTGTTAATAAGGACAGAGATTATGTCTCCTCTTTTATGTTTTAACTAACAACTTGGAGGACTCTATATTTTGTTAAGTCTTGAGGACTCACAAACTGATTTATCTCCATTTATAATTTTATTTTGTATTCAAAAAAGAAGTGTACACAATTATAATATCTTCTGGTCCTTAGGTCCTACAGAACAATAACTTCTTGCGTAGGCAACATATGACCTCTTACTATCTAAGGAAATGGGTAAAATCCTACTCTCAAAGTAGTTTTGGGCCAAGCTGGATGTATAGCGATTTGAAGAGAAGATGGATGAAAGATACCCACGAGGAAAGCTACATGGCCTCATTGGCAGCTGTTCTTTTGCCCCTGTTTGCAAATCAGAGGCAAGTAAGTTCTGGAGAGGTTTATTAGGATCCAGACTAGAGCTCTGTTATGGAGGGTAAAGATACTCTTACTCTTCTACCTAAGGGCTGTTTCAGGCACCATAAAGGGAACCAGAGACTGTTTTCAGGGTTTAGGGTAGAGGCAAATTTGTTATACGAAGCAGTAAATAGTCAAAGGTTTGGCCAAGGTTTGTTAGGGATAAATCAGTTCATTGCTTACCATGTTTTTCTTCTGGTTTCCAGGAATATAGCCCATGAGCAATAAAAACTCAAGATGACTCGTTTGGGATGATAAAAGCCATACTCAATCACTCACCTATCAATGAAAATGTTATGACTGTTATTGAGCAGTGTCCTACATGTGATAAAATATTTTTAAAAACACAAAATTAAATGACATCTGTGTCAAGAGAGTTCTATTCCCCTGGTCTCTCTGTCACCTCTAACAGTTCAGCTCATCTTTGAAGGCTGCAGAACCTTGAAAGCAGCAACTTTAGTTGAAAGAAGGAAGAGGAGACCAAGGTTTCTGCACTGGGCTTGGATAGACATCATGATGGAAGGAGAGACTCCTGGTCTTGCCCTGAAGTCTTCCGCCCTTCGCTTAACTCACAGTCAGTCCGACACTGACTGTCATCCCAAGATTGTGGTGATGCTTGGTCTCCAGTCTGGACTTTCCCTGTTCTTTGCAGAAATGAGTTTTTCATAGGATATCCACACAACTCCATGTCCCCTCTCTTATTCATTTTACACGTCACCTCTGAGCTCTAGGACACTTTAAAAGGAGCCTTTGGGTCTAAACTCTAAAGACTGGGGTTAACTTTACTCCAGGACTTCTAGAAAATATTGTTAAACTGTGGTCTCTTAAGAATAGTTGAAGGTGGGATAAGGGCAGAAGCTGATTTCCACCCAAATAATAATCAAGATGTTTTCATTATTTAGGAGTTTAATGTTCAAATAATCATATTTATTCTTCTGATCTAATTTTACTGGTACAACACAAATGATTACTAAACTAGTTGGTATCAAATTAATCAAAGCCTCTAGGATATTCAAAAGCCAACATAGGTTATCTCAGTCTCATAGCCTTTCACAAGAAACTAAGATTTTGAAAGAGGCCATGAAGTAAAGTATGTTCTGTAGAGTTTGATACATGATGCATAGGTTCCTTAGTGTGGACTTGGACTGGTGATGGTTGCATTGTTACCAGTTCACAATAAATACAGAAACCTAGAGTAAGCCTTAGAAACTTCTATAGAAGTTTGGCAGAGCACTGTTACATGTGTTGAATCTAATAATAAACAATTGGGCCTTGTATTTTGTATGCCTTTTGCTTTTTGTTTCATTTTTCTAGTAATTCATCTTTATTGTATTTTCCAAAAGTACCCATCTGGGAGGGCTTGGAAATAACAAAACGGGTCCTTTACCACAAAGAGTTTGAGACACAATGAAGTACAAGGTTACAGTACAAGACCCATTCCGTCCTATGAAGTTCTAAGATTCTCTGATTCCACATTCCCATTCCAAAACTATTCTAACTTCTCAAAGTTGGTAATTCCTGCATGATGCTATATAAAATTCTTAATAAACCAATGTTCATTTTCCCAAAGATGATCTTTTAGATGACGAGGAAGTCCGGGACCAGAAGCTGGTCTGTAAAGTGCAGCGCCTGGATCTACGCATCCAAAAAGGAGTGGAAAACGAAGTAGAAAAGAATTCCCAAACTTCAGCTCCTAGACCCAAACCTATCCTCTAAAATAAAGAGCTCTGGTGCAAATATCCCGATGCCTTCCTGCAATGAAGCGCCAATCTGGGGCGCCTGGGCCTGCATCTTGCCTGTGCCACTTATCCCAGATCCCTGCACTCGGCTACGAGCACGCCCCCACCAGCCCACACGGCTGCCGCCAAGGCAGCCTGTCCTTCAGCCGGCGCAACACCTGCGCCGCGGAGGGGGCGGGGAGAGCCCGGATTGGCTGGGGGCTCTGCGTCACGCGGCTCCGCCCCTCGGCCTATCTCACCCGACCCCGGCTCCGGCGGGGTTGACCAGACGGCGGGCTGCGATTGGAGGGCCCGACGCGGAGTCGATGACGCAAGGGGAGGCGGGGCCCCGCTGGGCCGTGATTGGAGGGCGGGCTCGTGGGCGCGGCCGGAGGGAGGGTCCGGCTTTTAGGGATTCTGAAAGCTGTAGCGTGTGCCCGCTCTATAGCGCGGCTTGGAGGTGAGCGATGGCGCGGAAGGTGGTTTTGATCACTGGGGCGAGCAGGTGAGACCTCTCGTGATCGTGGCAGCGGCGGATCGGGGGTCCAAGGGAGCAGGAAGAATAAGGCCAAGACGACTTGCCACGGACAGACCCCCAAGACGCCTGCCCGTGACTTTGCCTCGGTGGGGACTCGGGCCAGACCCCGTCGCGCTGTTCCCTGGGTCCCCCACTGCGCGAGGTACCGGGCGTGCCGGGTCCTTGAGGTACTCACTCGGTAACTGGTGTTTTGGATTAAACCTGACAATGGAAAGAAAAACTAGAGTCCCAGTAAGGAGAATAGTAGTGATGATCCTGTTGATATCCAGAAAAGGGCGCTTGCCACGCGGACCGCTCTCTCTCTCACCTTTGACCTTCTCCAGTTTTTACCGTCCATGCCTGGCAGTTTAATCGTGACCATGTGGCCATGTCTTGTGCTCCAGGTGTTTTATCTGTGCAAGACTTTCACCCCCTTATTAATTTCAACATCCATGGGCATTAGAACAGTGGGAGAAAAAAAATCTCATTCCGTCTACCACAGTGCGTATGCACCTACCATACACTCTTCAGAAACTCAGAGAAAGGTAACCTTTTCCTGTTAAGGCGTGGGTGGAGTGCAAATAACCATTACCGCCACTTCGTAATTATTCCCGGGCTGCTCGTTTCGACTCAGCCTCTTCTGTTGCCTGTTTTGCCTCTTATTTGCACTTCCCTGAAGAATGTGTGGAGGATGCAACTAATCAAACCATTTTTCTACTGGTTGCATTTGGAGTTTTTGAGGGATTAAGACAGAGGATATGTGAAATGTCATTTAAAATTAGTCCAGTTATCTAGCCACATCCATATTAACTAAGCCAGCTCGGTAGGTGTCTGTGACTGGTAGGTTTTTGGAGTGTCCTCTCCTGAGTGACTTTAACAACTGATCTGGTGCTCCTATGTTGAAGTTTCTTAAGTCAGAATTGATTTTGTATGTTTGTTTCTTTTACATATATTGTGATATGTGCAATTGTATATTTATAGTAAAGGCCTACTGTTCTCAGTGAGGATGAATTAACATAAATATACTTGATGTTCTGTTGGCAGGGCCAACATTACTGATGGTGGTAGGCACTTTTTGGTGTTCCGATTCTTTGCCTGGAATCAGCTTAAGTCTTGGAGGAGGACTGACTTACCTAGGGTTTCATTGCTATCAGCCAAACTGGTCTGACTCCTGTCTCTATCTACTGTGCAGTTTCCCAATGCTCTTTTTGGAGTAGTTTATCTGTCTTTGAATTGTGTGTTCATCCCTGCTTCTCTTTCCCGGTGCCCATCTTATATTTCTTCTTCCTACCTCCTGCTTAATCATGTTGAGTTCTTTCTCTTCCTATTGGTTATCTGATCATAGTAGTTGAGTGCAGCTGGTACCTCCTGCCATGTTACTGATGCCTCTTCCTGAGAGATTCATCCATTCCTTATCAGGAATTTCTGGTGCCTCCAATAGTGACAATGATACCAACAGATAGCAGAGCCCTTGCCTTGAGGAACTTGGACAGCAAAGTAAAACATGGGCACAAGAGACAACTAATAAGATGCTCTTTTCAATACCTGCTGGTGATGTATTGACTCCCTTTCCTGAGTGGCACAATAAGCACAAAATGAAAACCCCTGGCAGGATAAACTCTGTATTAGAAGAAATACTGAAGGACGGCTCTCATCTGCAGTCCAGTTATTTGTGTCATTGAGCTTTGGCAGAGACACAAACCGGACAGCATCCTGAGCAAGTGACTGTTAGACTGGGGGGGTTCCCCCTTCTTGAAATAATTTTTGAGTCTTTTCTGTCCACCTGGGCTCCTGATTGGAGTTCAAGTGAGCAGAATCAGTTTCCTTAACCAGAGAGAAATGCCTCTATTTGGCACCATCTCAATTCCTGCATATTCTCTGTCTGAATTGCCCCTTCAGTGGCGTTGGCCTAGCCCTCTGCAAGCGGTTACTGGAGGAGGACAATGGGCTTCACCTGTGTTTGGCGTGCAGGAACATGAGCAAAGCTGACGCTGTTCGCACTGCTCTGCTGGCCTCCTACCCCACCGCCGAGGTCACCACCGTGCAGGTGGATGTCAGCAACCTGCCATCGGTGTTCCAGGCCTCCAAGGAGCTCAAGCAAAGGTAAACCTCTTGTTGACGGGCTTTCTCTCATGTGGTTGCTCAACAGAAGAGATAATAAAATAAGAAAGGATAGGAAAACCTAAAAAGAAACAGGTGAGTGTAAGAAGCAGCTATGCTGAGGAAATCTGTATGAAGTGACCCGTTGTTTCAGTACCACCTTTGCATTCTCAGTCATAATCATGATTACTTCATGAAGATTAATTTTTCTTTTTTTTGTGTGAGGAAGATTGGCCCTGAGCTAACATCTGTGCCAGTCTTCCTCTCTTTTATGTGAGATGCTGTCACAGCGTGGCTTGACAAGCTGTGCTAGGTCCGTGCCCAGGATCTCAGCCTGCAAACCCCGGGCTGATGAAGCAGAGCATGTGAACATAACCACTACGCTACTGGGCTGGCCCTAAGGTTAATTTTTAAGTACACCTTGACATGTGATTGATTGTAATACCTTCCATTAATATCACTCCTTTGGTATTTGAATGCATTTTTTGTATCTTTCCTTCACAAAACAGTTTCATTAAGTAGATCGGGCAGGTGCTGACATTTAATAAGTGGAGAAACAGAGACAGAAATAAGAGTAATATTTATATTGGTTGGCTTGGTCCTAGAACCCAGGTCTCTGCCCTGCTTCCTCAGGTATTTTTTTTTCCCTAGGCCAGTAAAGATTTGTTCACACCTACACAGTAATTGGCATGTCATAGGCATTTGATAAATATTTAGTATATGAAGGAATAGAGTTCTTGGGTATATAACTCCCTAGAAAGTATACAAAAAATTACATATAGGTGCACAATGCATTTTTCTGGAGAGAGAGGGCATGCTTGTTTTTTTAATTCTAAGGGCAATTGATGATCAAAAAGTCAAGAACCCTGCACTAGTCCATGCTGAGCCCCAGGGATAGCTGAAATAATTAATTTTAAAATTAATTTAGTTAATCATTTAATTTTAAATTTTTGTAATTGAGGCCCTTAAGAAACAAGAGTTGCTTTATTTCCTTGGACAGTAAAAGGAAGTGCAATAGAAAGAAAAAATGCCTTCTTGGTAAAGGCATTTACTGAAGAATAAAACTTGGCATTTTCTTTATGTTTATTGATAGCCATTTGCATTTCCCTGCTCCAGATGCACGAGTTACAAAGCAAAAGCCAGTTGTCTTCACCCCAGCTCTTCTCGGTGCAGCCTTAGCCCTTTATGAATGTGGTTTCTCTCTCCTCTATTGCTGAGCTCCTAGGATATTCTGCCATATCATCTTTCTAAAAAGCTGAGGAGGTTTTCTGGGTTCCACATCCCCTACTCCTCCATAACTTAGAGTCTCCAAATCTGTAAAACTGCACAGTAAAGGTTCTTACTGAGTTAAAAACCCTGGAATCAGGACAGAAGTTATGAGTTTCAAATTATGTTTGCAGGCCTTCTTTCCCCAAACTTTCGTAGCCAACTGGTTGTCTTACGTATTTTGTATAGATTTAGTTCATTTCCTTATTTAGCAGAAATGAACCTTCATCCTAACTTAGTGATAGCTCATTCCAATACGTCCGGATTTAGAAAATGATGGTTGTAGTGATATTCACAGATTTGGGAATATGTGACAGTGTCCAGATGGATCTCTTGCTTATGTCAAGGATCTCCTGCACTTAATGGCCCAAATGTTTATCTTTGATTATAGATCTGAAGTAAGTTAGAACCAAAGAGAGCTTGAGAAGGATCTCTTCCAGTTGGCTAAAGCAACACCACTCCTGACCCCTGGTCTTTGCATCTGTAATCCTCTTTTCTATTAGATATGCGCAGATGAAAACTAATAAGGGATAGTGGCTCTCTTTTATCCAGAATAGAGCAATGGTATCATTTAATCTTTGAAAGTAGTAAGTATGCCACTTTACTGAAGCTGACCTTAATTCGGTGTTCTGGTGCAATCTATACTCTTTTCTAAGCATTTCCTTTTCATTCCAAGTAAAATTTGCTAATATGCTTAGATGAAAGTTTGCAAATTAGACAGTGGAACCACCAGCAATAGATGGACGCTCCCTGTCTTTGTAGCAGTAAGCTGGATGACTTGATCGTATCAATATCAGCGTTTTAAAGTCAGTTTAATAATCAGAGTCATTTGGCTGTCAATTACTTATGGGATGATCCAAAAATGTTTGTGTGTGATCAATATTAGTATTCATGTATGTATGTTAAGGTCCTAGCTTTAGTAGCTATGCCACACGTTGCCCTGGGCTGTACGGAGGACACAGAATCAGTGTGGTGCATAGAATTCTAGGAGATGTTCTGAGTGTTCATGGTGTCTGTTAGAATCATGAGAGCCGGCTCTGCTTGTCTTGAACCTGGTTGAAAAGGAATGTACTTAGATTAAGGCTTATGTAGGTTTAAAAATGAAAAGGCTTTCTCAAGTTAGCATTTCAAAATTCTCTCTATGACAAGCGTCCTGGAGAGAGCCCACCAGGAGAGCCTCGCCCCCATTCAGCTTCCATAATCTCAGTGTATTCTTGTGAGCTTTCATCATTTTACAATAGAGAGCACCTGGCTATGAACAAAGAACGATTTCCACATGGATCTTCTGCTTTGGTAGATATCTTGGCATTCAGATTCCAGCATGGATGGATCAGATTAGGTGAATATGATTATTATATAACTTTTACTTATCAATAGGGAAGATGTGAATCTTAAAAAAAAGCAAAAAACTTTCTAAGACGAGAAGGGGAGTGGTTTTAATAGACACAGGGTTGCTGCAGTGCGTAATTGGGAGGACTAACCTGGAAAGAGCATTGATCAGAGAAATTTTAACTTCAAAGCCCGTTATGGCTCCCCAAATTCTGTCTGAAGCCCCCATCAGAAAAAGAACACACATATTTACTGTGGCTAAAGAAAAAGAGAAGAAAGTAGTGTAACACACTGATGTGTCATACATTCCTTTCAGCTTGCTGTGGCCACCTTTTTGGTTCAGAGAGTATTTTCTGTCCTTCCTAGACCTTCTTTATTCCAGTTGCTCTAGGGGTAACTAACAATCTTGTCTTGATGTTTTACTTGCAGGTTTCCGAGATTAGACTATGTATATCTAAATGCTGGGATCATGCCTAATCCACAGCTGAATATCAAAGCACTTTTCTCTGGCCTCTTTTCAAGGTAATTTTCATTTTCTCAATGAACTGGTTAGAAAGAAGGTGTTTATTTTTCTGCCTAGTTTTGCCCTCAGTGTGTTAAGTTGGGGGATGAGAAGGTATTGAGAAGAATGAAGACAGAAAGGAAGTGTGGCAACAACATTATGAAAGAAAAGCATTCATCTTTTGTGGGGAGTGCTTCAAGTCATGATTCTGATGGGGTTCTAGGTCTCCAGGACATTCCAAGTGGTTGGATGTTTTGGAAGGTCAATTTTTGGTCTGCCTGAGCGTGTCTATTAGGAAGAACATTTCAGAATCAGGCAGAGTTGTCAGTGAGACTCCAATACCCAGGAAGGCCACTCTGGAAGCATTTCCCAGATGTATGTCAGGTGCTCTGATCAGTAGGCTGGAGAAATGCACAGAACGAAGTATCTTCCTGGGAGAGTCTCAATACATGTTAGAATAGTGGCTTCCAAAAATGTGTGACGGCAACCTACAGTAAGAAATAGATCTTCTTTTATGGCCGAGTGTACTTGTTTGTAAATAGATGGTCTTACTCTGACTGCATGCTGCTTGCGGCACTGCTCCTTTCGTTTTACTTCCCTTCCATTAAACCCACACGCAGTCCCACCCTGGTCTTGACCTATGAAACTGATCTCACGGCAAATCACTGTGTTAACATGTTCAATGCTCCAAGAATTCCCAGTAAGAAAACCACCTGTTTAGCTTTGTTAAACATCCGTTTGTGCAGGGGAGGACTTTTTCTCCTTGGCATAGCTATTATTCTCCCAGAGAACTTTACTTGTAACTCAATTTGGAAGGAAGTGAAGAGAGTTTTAGCGGCAGGTTTTTGAGAGACTTGGGTTCCTGTTGGTAGTATGAGCTATAAGGATATAAGTACTTCTGTGAATTGGGGGGAAGGAAGCATTTTTGCATCTTTTTTTAATACAATAACCCAGTCTGAGCAATAGGTATTTTTACTCCTGTTATTATAGAATCAAGGAAAATGTGGTTTGGGGACAGCGAAGGACAGCATGAGTGTCTCTTAAGTATCCTCAATTAAAGAAGCTTTTAAAAATCATACAATTGTTGGGGCTGGCCCTGTGGCCAAGTGGTTAAGTTCACGTGCTCCGCTGCAGGCGGCCCAGTGTTTCGTTGGTTCTAATCCTGGGCACGGACAGGGCGCTGCTCATCAGGCCACGCTGAGGCGGCGTCCCATATGCCACAGCTGGAAGAACCCACAATGAAGAATATACAGCTATGTACCGGGGGGCTTTGGGGAGAAAAAGGAAAAAATAAAATCTTTAAAAAAAAAAATCATACAATTGTCTTCTGTTTCAGAAAAGTGATTCATATGTTCTCCACAGCTGAAGGGCTGCTGACCCAGGATGACAAGGTCACTGCCGACGGGCTCCAGGAGGTGTTTGAAACCAACGTCTTTGGCCACTTTATCTTGGTAAGAAGACTTTGGGCTTAATAAGCCGACGTTTAGTGCTGTGATCCTAAAGGCTTGCATGGATGCATCACAGTGTGTTTTTGTTAAGCTCATTAGTTTATAGCCAGCATTAAATATCTACTATTTAAGTAGGATGGTCACTCTACTCTTTGGAAACATTGCTTCCCTAAAGCAGCCTATCGATATATTATTTTTTCTTTTTTTAGGATTGACACCTAGGCTAACAACTGTTGCCAATCTTCCTTTTTTTTTTTTTTTAAGGATTGGCACCTAGGCTAACAACTGTTGCCAATCTTCTTTTTTTTTTTTCTGTTTTATTTCCCAAACCCCTCCCCCCATACATAGTTGTATATCTTAGTTGCAGGTCCTTCTAGTTGTGGGATGTGGGACACTGCCTCAACGTGGCCTGACGAGCGGTGCCATGTCCGTGCCCAGGATCTGAACCCTGGGCTGCCGCAGCAGAGCTCATGAACTTACCCACTCCGCCACAGAGCCGGCCCCCTATTTTGTCTTTTGACATCAGCTCGAGAGAGTAGAGAGAAAGTGAGAAAGAAAAACACAAGTGCTTTCAGAAACAATGTACAGAACTGAGAAAAAGTGCACCAGTCCTGTTCTAAATGGTCTTTGAAACTGAGCTTGGCATCAGAGAGGCTGGGGTAGTAGGCATGCCATTATTAAATAATAATTCATAGTCAGTCTTGCGTTATCTTGATTTCTTTCTTGAAGCGTCTGTGCTTGTGTGTTACAATTCCAGGCATGCATATAAAGTTAAGCAGAAGTCTTGCCTGTTCTCTGTTCTTGCCTCAAGTTTAATCTCATAGTTGAGCTTTAATATCTCAAGTAATGCCTGACTCTATTGCCAGATGCTTATAATTCCTGGGTGCTGAAAAGACTGCTTATGATGCTGGGACAGATCCTGTATCTCTGACACTTTTATATTCATGATCACTTTTCTTCATCTTAAGCCTAATTTCCTTCCACATTGGACCTCCTTGAGGACTGGCCTATATTTGCAATAAATTAAGATCTATACAAACATTGGAATATCATGGAACCATTGAAAGAAATGAGATAAATATTTTGCATTTATATGGAATGGCTTCCAGTATTTTATTATTAAGAAGAAATAGCAGGGTGCAATATGCATAGTGTGATCTCATTTGTATAAACACAGAAAAAGATCTCTCTTTACATATTATTTATACATGTATATAGTATTTCTAGAATAATACAAATGAAATTGGGAACACTGGTTGCCTTTGATGAACCAGGGTGGCAGAGTATTGGAGATGAGTGGAGATTCATGTTTCATTCTATATCCTTTAGTACTATTTTTTTTAATGATATGTGGTATTAGTTTTTCAATGACAAAAGTTAATTTAAATATAGAGTCAGGAGGGGATTGAATTCTTATCTGGTCATTTTTTTTATAACTTTACAGGGATCCATTGTCTGACATTTCCTTTATCTTTTTAAATAATCCTTTCCCCTTTCTTTGCCCTCTTTTTGAATTATTAAATTAATTGGTAATTATAGAGGATAAGTTATTAATAGTGTGTTAATTTTTTGATAGATCTAGTGTTTAGAAAATTAAATTAAGAAAATCAAGTATTTGGGTAATCTGGGTAGGGGGAGTGGCAGAGGAGAGTTGTGACCATAGGCACAGTTATTACAGGGTCCTGGTGATATGACTTATCCTTGTGTGTCCTTGTAGAGGTAGGCATGTCAGCAGGGGTTTTGGAACTGATTTATCAAATAAAATAATAGAAAGGCTTATAATGCCTTCCATGCTCTTCAAATTAAATTTAAGAATCTTACCGCTTTTTATGAAACACATACTAGGATTCTAGGTTCAGGGGTAAATGCTTCGTACAAAGGGATCCACGCCCAGTTTGATTATATATAAAATGACCAGACTTTTAGGGTTGTTATAAAGAGTGGAGATAATTTCTGTAAAGTTCCAGGCATAGTGTGGTATTACAGTTGAGGAACCAATGACCTGGTTTAATCTCATGTTTATGATTTCTTTTGATTGCATTTGACTTATTTGTTCATTGCAAATATGGAGCACATCGGAAGCTTTCCTAGATTTTTGTTTAATAAACTTTTTGTTTTAAATTTACAAAATTATTGCCAAGATAGTACAGAGAGTTCCTGTATACCCTACACCCAGTTTCCTATATTATTAACATCTTACATGGGTATGGTATACAATTAGTGAACCAATATTGATACATTATTATTAATGAATTTCCACACTTTATTCAGATTTCTTCAATTTTTGTCTGATGTCCTTTTTCAGGTCTAGTATCCCAGCTAGGATACCACATTACATTTAGTAGTCAAGTCTCCTCTTGGTTGTGACAATTTCTCAGACTTTCCTTGCTTTTGATGACCTTGACAGTTTTGAGGATTAATGCTCAGGTACTTTGGAGACAGTCCCTCAATGGGGATTTGTCTGATGTTTTTCTCAGGGTTAGACTTGAGTAATGTGCTTGTGGGAGGAAGACCGCAGAGGTGAAGTGCCTTTCTCATCACATCATGTCAAGTGTGTATACTATCAATGTGACTTCTCAATGTTGATGTTATCTTTGATCACTTGGCTTCAAGTGGTGTTTGTCAGGTTTTTCCATTGTAAAGTTATTCTTTTTCTTTCTCCCTTTGCATACTGTACTCTTTAGAAGGGAGTTACTATTATAGCCCACACTTAGGGGAGGCTCAATCTCCTTAATGCGGATTAGCTACATAAATTGTTTGGAATTTTTCTGCAAGGGAGATTTTTGTATTCTCCTCCATTTAATTTTTTATTCAATCATTTATTTATTGATCAATTATATCTCAAAGCTGAAAAAATCTTTTATTATATCCTTGTGGACTATGGATATATATTTTCTACTTTGTCTTATAAATACTACTTTATCTTTTTGCTCAGATTATTTCAGTTTTGGCCATTGGGAGCTCTTTCAGTCAGATCTTGTATATTTTCTGTTTTGATCACGTCCTTTCTGATGTTTCAAGATACTTCAGGATCATCTTGTGTGTTACATGCTCCAGTCCTAGAATCAGCCGTTCTTTAAGGAGATCTGATTCCTTTTATTGGAAAATGGTGTTAGAAACCAAGATCTGGGTGCTCATTGCTGTTGAGATAGCGATTGCTTCGAATCGCTCTCAGCTAGCCGAGCAAGGAGATATATATGTGGATACTGATCCAAGTATGTATAAATATCTATAAATATTTTTGTATGTAATCATTTGTGTCTTTATTAAGCTAAACATGAGCTCATACTGATGTCTCTAACTCTAATCCATTATCACATGGATCATTCCAGCCTCCTCCCTTGTTTATCTGTAATATCCCACTCTAACAGTGACAAACCTGTTCAATTCCAGTATTCGTTTATAGTAGTTTCAAAATTGTTATCCTGTATTCCCCCAGTATATTTTGATACATTTTTTGTTTCTTTTTTTCCTCATTCAGATTCAGGAACTGGAACCTCTCCTCTGTCACAGTGACAGTCCATCTCGGCTCATCTGGACGTCATCTCGCAATGCAAAGAAATCTAATTTCAGCCTTGAGGACTTCCAGCACAGCAAAGGCCAGGAGCCCTACAGCTCTTCCAAATATGCTATTGACCTTCTGAGTCTAGCTTTGAACAGGAACTGCAACCAGCAGGTGAGGCCTTTCTTAGTGATACGGAAGTGGCAGGGCAGTGGTTTCTGAACTATAGTTCGTTTCCTAGTAACATGGCTGACTGTCTATTAACTATTGTAGTTTATAACATGCAGTATAGTTTCTTGATCAGGATTGCTGTGAGCACAAGACCAGGCATGAATAAGATTGATAGTTGGTGTATGTGAAAGTTTTAGGGCAGAGATAATTAGCTGCTGACTTTTTAGGTGTCTGGGGGCTCATTCACCATTTTGTAGCTCTTCAAGAGCTATAACTTCTGTAACAGAATGACACTACTTCCGAAACCAATACCTACTGTTAAGCCCTTGCTGTGTTTTAGGTGCTGTACTCTGTATCTGGGTGTGTCATTTAATACCTTTCCCATCACAGTGAGGTGGGTCTGAATATTCCCATTTCCATGTGAGGACACTGAAGTTTGGGAAGTTAAGTCATTTACCCAGAAGACACACAACTAGTAAATGATAAAGCTCAGAGTTGAGCCCAAGGCTGTCTGACTTTATAGCTGGGACTTTTCCCACAAAACTATTCTGCCTCCCAGTGTTTATCAATATCAGATGCTATAGGATGGTCAGTACTTATAAAGCTCTCTGGATAGTGGTGATCTTTGGTGAGACTCCAGAGAGCTGTCTCTGCGAGGACCCTGGGTTTAGAGGCTGTTTCTTTAGAGTGGGCAACCCCTCTCAGTCATGCTGGCTCCCTGTGGCCTCCATGGTCTGGAATTTACTGCTTCTCTGTATGTCTCTCTTGCCTGGGTCTAAAATCTTAACTGAAAATCTCCATTCTGTCCCATGGGCATTTTTCTTCGTTTTCTTGGAGTGTTGGTTGAGTGTGGGACGGTGGAGAAATTTAATTCCACTAATATTTACAAGAAGACCTGTCATGTTTAGGGCAGTAGGTCAGCCTTAGGTGTGAGGAGGAAGGAGAAATGACAAGATGACTCAAAAAGTATCTGCCCTTAAGGAGCTCCTTTGATCATACATTAGACGCAGCAGTCTAAGCCTTGTGTGATGGTCTGAACAACATGATTTATTCTGGAATGGAGACCTTTCTTTATCAGATGGAATTCTCACTTGTGTGTTCTGGCTCTTCGAATCATGCCTCTTCATGAAGAGGACGGTATGTAAGAAGATGCTAACTCTCTAGAACTGGATTTGAATCCTGGCTTTGTCACTGGCTTTGTAACCTTGAACAAATTGTTTGATCTCCCTGTGCCTTGGTTTCCTCATCTGTAAAATAGGGATAATAATAGTGCCTAACTCACGGATTTGTTGGGAGAATTAAATGAGGGGATTGGAATGAAGCAGTCACAGCAGTGCTTTGTGTTCAGAATGTGTGTGTGTTTGTGCATGTGTCTGCACACGTGTGTACATGCGGTATGAATGAGTGGGGACGTATGTGCTTGTGTGCATGCATCCATGTGTGGGTGTGCATCCCCATGCACGTATATGGGTTTTGTGGGTGTGTGCGCGTGTATGAATGTGATTGTATATGTGGTGTGTATGCATATGCATGTCTGCTTGTGCATGTGAGCATGAGGTCTGTACATGTGTGTGCACATGCTTGTGTGTGTGTGTGTGTTGGCTGTTATTGTTATTATTATTATTATTATTATATTTGACCTTAGTGTGTTGGTCCAGTGGTGAGCCTCCTTCTGAGGTTTCTTGAGATATTTAAAAACTTGTCACAACTGCTCGTCCCCTGGACACTCCCTTTTAGGGGCAAGGTTACAGTGGATTAGCTTCTTTTTGTCATGAAAAGTTCTTGGATAAGACTGCCTCCTTGTTTGTTTCTTTTGTTGCTCAATGTCCAAAAGTCATTGTGTTGGAAACCCTGGATTTTAGTTCACAGGTGTCTTCATTGAAGGCTGAATAGTCTCCAAGTGTTCCTAGCTAGGTACCAGAATAAGAAACTTTCCTTAGCTATCTTTGGAGCAAAATGTTACTTTCTTGGGAAGAAGTTTTGGTCTATCAGGATGAGGAGTCCAGGCTCTTGACATTTGGTCAGAGGACCAACAGAGGCCTGTCGGTACATCGAGGGGACTCCCAGGGACTGGATTATGTGTGTCAGGTGCCGCTACGCCTCTGCAGCCCTGAGTCAAGGAGGAAGAGTTTCTAGCTTCTGCTGCTCAGGGTGCTGTCTGTCCGCTGAACTGTCTGTGTTACACTGACACTTCTTATTTTTCATTTAAAAGAAAAAAGAAGATTAAAAGTAATAAAAATATGAGTTAAAATAGTCAATATCAAAACAAGGTAAAATACAGTGAAAATTAAACTAAATCAACTCGTAAAACAAATCTTGGTGCTCTGAGGATTACTAAAGACTACGCAGGGCCATTTCTATTAACATACGCTCTGTGGTAATTGGGGCTCTCTTTATAAGACAGATCTTTCTGACATGATGAGTCCTAGGCTAAGACCTTGCTTTAGAGATCTTCAGTTGGAGGCTGTTTGTGGAACCACACACAGCCTTTCGTTCCTCTCTGTTGCCAGGAGCTGGAGGTATGGGTCTTATGTACCTGCAGGGCGATGGATACATACTTTATTTTATTTATTCATTTGTTTATTTTTTGGCTGAGGAAGATTTGCCCTGAGCTAGCATCTGTTGCCCCTCTTCCTCTATTTTGTATGTGGGTCACTGCCACAGCATGACCACTGTTGAGTGGTGAGGGTCCGTGCCCAGGAACTAAACCCAGGCTGCTGAAGAGGCAGAGTGTGCCGAGCTTAACCACAAGGCAACTAGGCCAGCCCCAGCAGACACATACCTTAGCTGTCTGTATTTACTAGATCAGAAAGTTCCTAAAGGCAAAGACTGTACCATATATGTCTTTTTTATCTTGTGTTTATTATGGCTGATAAACTGGTCTTCAGTTAAGCCAATCACATGGAAAACTCAGGTAACCAGGGCCTACTTTTCTCCTCTAGCTTCAAGCTTGGTTATTCTTTGTACTATAAGTTTCTTCAGAATAAAGCCTTTGTCTTACTAATTTTTATACCCTGAAGGCTTCTCATAGTGAGTTCTCAGTACGTGATTCTTAAACTGAAATGGTCTACCCAGCTTCAAGGACAGCTCAGAGTGTAAATCCTTCATGCTCCCTTGCTTATTTGTGTATCTCCTTTATTAACTAGCATATGGGTGGACTGAGTCAACATACATTGAATTAAAATCTTATTGCTACCCCTCTCTGTGTTCCCAGGGTCTGTATTCCAGTGTGTTGTGCCCAGGTACAATGTTGACCAATTTGACGTATGGAATTCTACCTCCCTTTATATGGACGCTGCTGATGCCGTTCATATTGCTGGTAAGTGAAGAACACTTCTTGTCTATACTTAGTTTAGTTACACTGTTCAATTTGAGACCAAAAAGATGTGTTTAAGAGTTGGGAAGTGATTTAAGAAATTGAACCTGAACGTGGCAGAATTCCATTTCACTTAAGGTTTTTGAAGTTAGTTAATATGTAACCTCTGTTTCGTCCTACTTGATGTGCCCACCACTCCACCACCCGAGTGTCCACTTCTCTTTAAGGGAATGTTTCTTTGATCATGCACCATAGATCCCAAGAGTTCTCTGATTATATAATTTTGGGAAACCTGTGTTAAGTGATATTAAACTGGATTTCTCTGAGCTTTCAATGTGGTCATGTGCTTCAGAAATTCCCAAGAAGGAGGTGATTGTGCACTGTCTGACCCTAGAACCAGGTTTTTGCCTGTTTATTTTGGTTTGTGTTTTGAGCATCTTGCAGGACCAGTGTTCCTCCAGCACACGTTAGGAAATCTCCCTCCCTTTTAGAGTTCAGGAAAAAATGTCCTTTCATTATGGTAGGTGTTGAAAAAAGATGAGAGGGAAATATGCCTTCATGTTAAAAGTGGTTGACCTGGAGTGATGGAGATTAAGTGATGCTTCTTTTTTTTTTTTTTCTGCTTTATTTCCCAACCCCCCGGTACATAGCTGTATATCTTAGTTGCAGGTCCTTTTAGTTGTGGGATGTAGGACGCTGCCTCAACGTGGCCTGACGAGCGGTGCCATGTCCGCGCCCAGGATCCGAACCCTGGGCCGCCGCAGCAGAGCGTGCGAACTTAACCACTTGGCCACGGAGCCGGCCCCTAAGTGATGCTTCTTTTTGAGACTTCTTTATTTTTTGATACTTAAAAAAAATGTTCTATGATAAGAAATGCAGGTTATCTTTTTTAAAATGTAAATGAATAATGCTTTTGTGACTCTATTCTTGATGTGATTCTTGAACCCCCAGAAAATGACTATTGTTTTCTTCTCCTCAGCTTCGCTTTTTTGCAAGTGCTTTCACTTTAACACCATACAATGGAACAGAAGCCATGGTATGTTACTAGAGTTTCAATGGCTTGTACAATCACTTACAGGTGTAAATTGTAAGTTCACTGGTAGTAGGAACAATCTCAACAAAAAAGATAAGAAAACAAGCTCTGTGAATAATCAGGGTCCTATTTAAGACTAAGGTGGACCATAAGGCTGAGAGCAGAGCATTCGGAGTGAAGTTTGAGAGTTTATATCGACCATGGCACTGGATACCATAGTGGAAGGGATAGCAGTTTTCTAGAAGCAAGATCCACTAGCAGCTAGAGGAGTGTAGAGCAGTGGAATACTACTGGCAAAGCAAGATGGTGGCTGGGCAATCACTGTGAGATTTCCCATGGAGAAAGTGCATCTTGTGGGTCAAGAGTAGAGGCAATTAAGTCCAGCTGCATTTCCTTATATGGAAATTCCCTTTCCTCTGTCAATATTAGAGGATCAAGTTGTTATTTTATTAGAAAACCACTGCATTTCCTTGAATCACATGGCAAGTGGATTGTGTGTTTCCTCATCGCCGGCAGATATTACTAATGGATCATAGTACTCTTTGCTATTATACACAAATGATGTCTTTGACTATTTCCAACCCAAGACCCCAAAGGCATCCTCTACTAATGGGTTAGAATTGTTATTCAAGATGGAACTCATTCGTCCTCTGTTCTTTATTTACACCATCTGGTCGAGATCCCATTGTGTTAGAGTCAGTTCTTTGTGTGTCTTCCTCACTCCATTTAGCTCCTTCAGGATTTTTGCTGTCCATCTTGGAAACTTGAGAGCCTAGTACTGTAGTGTTTATATTTAGTAGATTCTTAAATTTTGGCTGAACTGAAATTAACTAAGGAAAATATTGAGGAAATTACCTCGACACTCCTGTTTTGGTAAACATTGCAGAAATAAATGCATTTATTGTAGGGACACAAGTTGATTGTAGAAGCAAGTGCTTTTAAACTAATTTTAATTAGTTCTTGATATATTTGCCAAACCATTAGAAATAATGAATACTCCTTTCAGAATTACTCATTCTGCACATCTATAACACTGAAAATCAAGCGTAGAGGTCATGTATATATTGAGTGTCAGTGGTATGGGGAGTAGTTAGAAGAAAAACCTCCAGTTATTAAGGATCTCAGAGTCATGTTTAGAAAAAAGAATGAATACAGAAAATGGGCAAGAAATAAAGCATCCTGTCATCAGACGGTGAGTCCTCTAGGAACAACTAGAAAGGGGGACCGGGGGGGGCTGGCCCCGTTGGATGGAGCAGACGTTGCTGACTAGGTAGGGCTTGATCGGAGCCCCAAAGGGTGGGTGGGATTTGGATAGGACAGACAGCATGACCCCATGTCTCTGTTTAAAAACTTTGTTGTGCCCCTGATGTAATTTCCTAAAATGTGGGTGGGTAGGAGAATATCCCTCTCATTGCCACCTAGTGATGGTTGTAGATGCTGGTGCCTATGGATGAGGATTTGAGCATACCACTTGTGTACAAGTCTCTTCAATCTTTGGATCAGTTTTATCTCCTTAAATTGACTGAGCGGCCTAAAGCACAGTGGTTAAGAGTGTGGGCTCTAGAATTCTGCTAGAATCCCAGTTCTCCAGTGCCTGCCTGTGAACCCTGGGGCACATTTTTTCACTCATCTAAGCCTTTTATTATCTGTAAAATAGGAATTTTAGAAGTAAATGAGAGAAGGCTTCTTGTAAAGGAGTCAGTATATTTCAGTATTTAAGATTTTAAAGAAGACTATCTTAATGAAAACAGTAAAGTTCTGGCCTGCGAATTGACAGAAGAGTAGAATAGAGTAGAAAGTTTAGACTAGACCCATAGCATTCACGGATTTAGTGTATGATAATGATAGCATTCCAAATCAGTGGGGAAAAGACGGGTTATTCCACAAATGTTGCCAAACAGTCGAATAACTTCTTTTCTTTTACCTTACACTCAAATAAAATTCTAGGTAAATTAAAAGATTTATAGGGGCCGACGCCGTGGCCGAGTGGTTAAGTTCATGTGCTCCACTTCGGTGGCCCAGGGTTTCGCTGGTTCCGATCCTGGGCAGGGACCTAGCACTGCTCATCAAGCCATTCTGAGACAGCATCCCACATAGCTCAAAGTACAACCAGAGGCACTCACAACTAGAATATACAACTATGTACTGGGGGGGCTATGGGGAGAAGAAGAAGGAAAAAAAATAAAAAGAAGATTGGCAACAGATGTTAGCTCAGGTGCCAATCTTTAAAACATAGAAAAAAGAGATTTACACATTAAAGTTAAAATATATAATTACTAGAAGGAAATATTGGGAAATTTTTAAATAGTTTGAGTGTGGAGGCTTAGCTATTCCAAGTTACCATAAAAGAAAAGACTGAAAATTGTGATTAAATAAAAGTAAAGATGCTTGCATGACTAAAATCCTCACTATAAACGTACTACAAAGACTAACCACAAAGTGGAAGAAAAGTACCTGCCATTCATATCGTAAATAAAGAGTTCGTTTTCTTAATAGTTTAGGAGCTTCAACAAATCAAGGAAAACAATAACCTATTGGAACAAGGGGCAAAGGACATGAACACTTTTTAAACTGTTAGTTGTATGAAAAGCTGCCCAAACGTATTTCTACTAAGAGAAATGCAAGTTAAAACGACAATGAAAAATTGTTTTTCAGCTTGATTAGCAAAGATTAGAAAGTTTGATAGTACGTTGACTGGCAAGGATATAGGGAAATGAGAACTCTTACAAACCCTGGGGGAGAGGAGATCTATATAGCCTCTGTCAAGGACTCTTTGGCAAGATCATTCAAAATGATAAATACATATACCCTTAACCCAGAAATTCCATCTTTGGCAGTTATCGTACAGATGCACTCAAATTTATATGAAATGGTGTATTCATCATCTGTCACGGTGTGGTTTGTAATAGCAAAGATGGTAAACAACCTATATGTCCATCAATTGGAAACTGATTGTATAAATTATGGTACATCCATGAAATGGAATACTGTGCTGCTTAGGATGAAACAGCCCTACATATGCTGATTGGAAAATATCTCCAGGGCCTATTGTTCAAGTGAAAAATGCAAAGTGTCGAATAGTACATATGCTTCCATTTGAGTATGAGAAAAGGATATGTATGTTTTTAAGCAAATGCTTTTCTTTGGAAGAATACCTAAGGTATTAGTAAGAGTGCTTGCTTCCAGAGAGAACTAGGTGGCTGGACAATTGGGAAGAGAGGAGGACTAACTTTTTACCACGTGTATCTTTTGAATGTTGTACATATGCATGCTTATCTAGTAATAGAATGAAATATTATATAAATGACTTGCACTTTACTGGGCAGGTTAGTATCAACTCAGAATAAGCTCGTCTATATGCCGTAAACTTTAATTTTGGGATTAAGGGAAGAGACAGCTAATATATGAGGGTTATTTTGCTTTACATAAATTCTCAAAGGGTACTAATAAGCAGGCTGCCTTACTTTCTTCCTTCAAATTACAGTAGTGGTTTGTGAAGACATCAAAATTAGCTGATGATATTCAAGAGGATTTTTAGAATTTGTTTGTAGGTCTGTTAAGCACTAATTGTAAATCCCCACCAGCCTCACTCACCTTGGGCAGAACAAAAAAATCATTGTCACCCTCTTCTTTTCCAGGTATGGCTTTTCCATCAAAAGCCAGAGTCTCTTGATCCTTTGGCCAAATACCTGAGTAGTACCACTGGCTTTGGAAGGAATTATGTAATGACCCAAAAGGTAAATCTGTTTACATTGTTACATCGAAGAGGTTTACTGCTAGGATGATGAAGTAGTCCCCTGGTGCCTGACCAGCCCCACCAGCTTCCTGGTGTCTCTTTCCTGGGTCTTCCCTCTCTGTGTGCTGGGAACACACTGGCCTGTTTTCATCTTTGTCTGCGTTCTTCTGCCTCTGAGCCTTTGCCTGTCTTCTCTCCACCTGAACTGCTCTTACCTTTCTTCTTTCAACTGATTGATTTTTACTATTTATTCTTAAGACCTCAGCTTGTATCTCAGCATTCTCTGGCCCGTTAGACTGGGTCAGATGCCTCCGTTGTTGGCTTCCTTAGCATCTTATACCTGTTGTGTGCAGTATTCAGTCAACATCTGGCTCCCTTGTCCAAATATAAGCTCTGTGCGGAGGAGGATTGTACCCCTCTTTCCTAGCATGTTGCCTTGCACGTGGTAGGTACCAAATAAATCTATTGCAAATTGGATGAAATATAAAGTGTCTTTCTGAGTGAAGCTAACTTCCCTTTGAGTATTCAGTTCCACTTGTGACCGTTATTAGCTTTAAGAGATTGGTGTTTTGAAGAGGCAGGAGATGGGGTATGGGAAAAAAATCAGTGCTGTGTGTTTTAGACTGTATAATCTTATAAGAAGATATCAAACATAGAGTTACATATTAGAAAATGAGGAATTTATTTTGAACCTATATGAGTTAATTTTGTTGTATTTTTGTCATGAGTAAGGTTTATTTCAGCCTCCCATTTTTCACTGCCTAGCTTATTGTGAAGAGTCATTGGCATAAAATAAAACTAGATTGAGGCAAGTAAGTTATCTCAGGGAAGTGAAATAATGGGCAGTGTTCTTGTCTATATGTCAGTAGCTTGAGGTCTGAGGGCACCCATGCTCCCTGCTTCCTGTGGTGTCTGTTTACTAGAAGCAAACCTGTGTACCTCCAGTGTTTTTCAAAATATGTTCTGTGGGATACTAGTTACTTGAGGAGATTTGCAAAAAGCAGTCTGTCAGTCAAGTAAATTTGAGAAGTGCTTCACATTAGGTATACCCCTCTTTCAGAGACGTGTACAATGCACGTTAGCCCAGTAAACGCTTTTTTGAGAAGTTGGTACAGTTAAGAAGTACGTGTGAAATGTTTCATCCTGGTGGTTCCAAACTGTTCTTGACTATGTGACATTTTCTTTTAACTTCAGGTTTTACATAACAATAACATCCCAAAGAACACACTTTGGGAGCTCTATTGTAATTAATAAGCTTACTTTTAGGCCCTCAGAGTTTGTTTGAACTTACTGTCTGTTAATCTCCAGGGAATGATTCGTTTACCAAGGGGAGAAAATGTTTAATTCTGTAGCCAAAGCATTTTATTCGCATTTTATGGAAATGCATTGAAGAAAGTGTTTTGACCTTGGATTAATTTGGGGAAGTCAGCTTCTCCTCTGTTAAAAGGTTGGGTTGAACTAAATAGATCTCTCATGCTGGGGAGATCCAGTTCCAATATAGAAAAGAGAGAGCCCCTCCAGTTCCAATATAGAAAGACTCTAATGTGATTGAATGACTGTAAATGTAATTTCCAAAATGTTATGAAGTTTTCTTTAATTTTTAGCCTTTTAGCTTTGTGAAGAGCGAGGCTTTTTCTGAAGTTTTGGCTCTGTGATGACTTGAAAAGAGATATCACTTTATTCTATAGGGGCTGAAAATTTGCTTTTATATACAGTGTATCAGTTAAAGTCAGATTTTCTACACAAAATAGAAGATTGTTAAATAACAATGGGTTAAACAAGATAGGAGCTTAGATTTCTCACGTGTAAAAACAGTTTGGAGAGAGGCAGGCGTGGGCTGGCTTGGCAGCTCCTCAAATTGTCAGCTACCCAGGTTTCTTCCGTCACCCTCTGCCATCCCTAGGGGTGGCCCTCATCCTTACAGCTCAAGAGCGGAGTATGGAATAAGGGAGAAAGAAGGGAATGCCCCATTCCTTTTAAAGAGACTCCTGGGTGGTACCCACAACACTTCACTTACATCTCATTGGCCAGAGCATAGTTACGTGGTGCCCACGAGCTTCAGTGGAGGCTGGACATGTAGTCTTTCATCTGGAAGGCAGTGAGCCCAGCTAAAGTCAGGGCTCTTTTACTAAAGAAGGAGGTGGGTAGCAGTTGGAATAAAAAAAAAAAAGAATCCTTGATTTTCCTCTTTTGTCCTGTCTTATATCACAGTTGGTTGGTATCTTCTATTACTGGGTACATAGGAGTTAGGGGAGACAGCAAAACTCAGATCTTTCTGTCTTGCTATTTAAGGGAAGCATCAGTAGGTTTGGTGACTGTGGGAGTCTAGACTGAGAATTATAGGTCCTCAGGATCTCAGAGTTTCCTAATACTCCCCATGTGGCTGCCACTGCTGCCCTTTCCAACTGGCCATTTTCTTTTTTTTCAGTTTTCTTACATGTGTTGAATGCCTTCCTTTTATACAAACACTATTCATTTGATTTTTCCTTTCTGGTCATCCCTATCTTTGCTTCTTTTCCAGATGGACCTAGATGAAGACACTGCTGAAAAATTTTACCAAAAGTTACTGGAACTGGAAAAGCACATTAGGGTCACCATTCACAAAACAGATGACCAGAGCTAAGGATGACACACTCTAAAACGTTGTGGACCTTCTGTGCATTTCGGAGCACATGGGTTTCTATTGAGCTGGATGATGTGCATTTGTGGTAAACTATGAACTATAATTGTCTTTTTTCCTTCCTTTCAGAATTATCTCTAAGACTGTGTATGTGTGCATGTGTGTGTGCACATGAGAAAAAGATTGGTAAAATAAAATAGGAGTTAGATATTCTCCAGATGCTGTCATATCAAACTTGTGCTAGAGACACCCAGCAGAGTATCAGGTATTTGTTCTGCCCACTGGAGCCCAAGGTACACTTCATGGGATGCGGTGAGGACCAGGCACACACTGGTCCTCCCTTTGGCCTGCCCCAGCAGGAGGAAGGACTGGCCACTCTCTGAAAGGCAATCTTAGCTTTTCTCCTTTTCTTATGAGCAATTTTTCTAGGTCTTGTGCCTTATTTCTTCCTCCACATGCTGCTTCTAACACTCCTGAGATTATTGGAATTCTAACAATCCTAAAGCAGATGCCCATGTAGTTAATTACAGAAACGAAAGTATATATGTATTTGGGCCACTTGATTTACTTCTTTTCTTATTTAAAAGTGTCTTTTATTGATATTGAGGTAGTCCATGTTAATATTGGGCCTGACATATGAGACCGTTTGCAAATTTGCTCTTTACTGACCGACATATTTTCATGATCGTAGACATATATATATATGTGTATATATATTATATATATGTATATATACATTTTTGTTTGTTTGTTTGTTTTGGTGAGGAAGATTGGCCCTGAGCTATGAGCTAACGTCTGTGCCAATCTTCCTCTATTTTGTATGTGGGATGCCACCACAGCATGGCTTGATGAGCAGTGTGTAGGTCCACACCTGGGATCTGAACCCATGAACTCCAGGCCACTGAAGCAGAGTGTGCGAACTTAACTGCTCTATCACTGGGCCAGCCCCTCATGATCATATTTTAATGGACATAATCTTAGAGCAGAAATGATTTGCTCACATCGTTTCAATAAAATTTTCCAATCGATATAGAGGTGGGTGGAGCAAAATGGCGGGGTGAGCTGACCCGGGACTCTCTCCCCTCCAAAGTACAACAAAGGATTGAAAAAACTGAATTTCAGCAAATAAACCTAATGCCAAGATGTCAGAGACCTACAGTACCAAAAAGACGGAGGACGGAGACCTTGCGGCAGGCCTCAGAGGAGCTGGAACAGGGGAGGAGAGAACTTCACTCCCTCCCCTAGAGACCGGGATTGCTGTCGGGGGTGCGGGAAGGAGCAAGGGAGGGGCTGCGTGACTGGGAGATCATCCAGGACTCCCGCTGCCTGTACAGTGGAAACCCGTGGACAGGGGAAAGCTTCTGTGCATGGGGACCCCATAAAGCCAGGGCCCCGGGAGGCCAGAGAACCGAACTGATCCGAATCCAGATCAGCGTGTGAGAGAAACTGCCCCTCCCCCCGGCAAACCGCACTGGGCGCTGCCATCTTGCCTGATGGCAGAGAGCTCAGAACGTGCAGCTCTCGACCCCTATCTATTGGCGACAGGCTGTAACTGCAACCGAATTCTACCACCATGCGAAAAAAACGCTCTTCTACCAACCAGCAATTTATAAAAGCTCCAGACCAGAAGGAAAACAATAAAAACACAGAATTAAGTCCTGAGGACTTGGAAATAGGTAAACTAAGTGAAAATGAGTTCAGACTAGCTATAATCAAAAAACTCAATGAGGTAGAGAGAAAGATAGAGAAACAAGCCAACGAGTTATGGATTTACTTCACAAAAGAGATTGAAATTATAAAGAAGAATCAAACAGAATTACTAGAGATGAAAAACACAATGGACGAGATAAAACAGACTACGGATTCCCTGAATGCCCATGTAGACACCATAGAAGAGCAAATTAGCATAATCAAAGATAGACAGGCTGAATGGCTCCAGACAGAGGAAGAAAGAGAACTAAGAATTAAAAAAATGAGGAAAATCTCTGAGAGATAGCGGATTCAATGAGGAGAAAGAATTTAAGGATCATAGGAATTCCCTAGGACGGGGAAAAGGAAAATGGAGCAGAAAGTGTGCTTAATGAAATTATAGAAGAGAACTTCCCAAATCTAGGGATTGAGGGAGAAATGTGTGTAGAGGAAACTTTCAGATCTCCTAGATTTGTCAATGTAAAAAGACCTACTGCAAGGCATATAGTAGTACAAATGGCAAAAATGAAAGACAAAGAAAGAATACTCGGGGCAGTAAGACAGAAGAAAATAACCTACAAAGGAACTCCTATCAGACTTTCAGTGGATTTCTCTAGAGAAACCTTACAAGCTAGGAGAGAATGGAGTGACATATTCAAAACTTTAAACGATAAAAATCTTCAGCCAAGAATACTCTATCCAGCAAGAATATCCTTCAGATATGAGGGAGAAATTAAATCTTTTCCAGACAAACAAAAGTTAAGGAATTTGTAACTAAAAGTCCTCCACTACAAGAAATCCTCTAGAAGGCTCTCATACCTGAAAAAAGAAAAAAGGGAGAAAGGGGTCACAAACCACAGAGTAGGGAGACAGATGGATAGAACCAGAATAGGATAGGAAATATTCAACTATAGCATTAGGATAAAGGTAAGGAAACTACCAAAGCAAAGACGATCTTATCACTCTAACTACAAACTCATAACACGAGTTGGAATAAGAAATGAAAATAATAATTTAGGAGGGGAAGAGCAAAGGGACTAAATCAGTCTAGGTCAAGTAAGTAAGAGACCACCGGAGAATAGACTATATTATACGCGAGATTTTAAATACAAACTTCAGGGTAGCCACTAAACTGAAAAACAGAACAGAGCCACAAAACATAAAGAAAGAAAAATCTAAGAAACCCAGCATAAGAAATGGCAGTATTAAATGGGTAGCCTAAAGCACACAGGAAAAGCAAAGCAGGAAATCCAGATAATGAGTGACAGATTGACAGCATTAAGTCCACATGCATCAATAATCACTCTCAATGTAAACAGGTTGAACTCTCCAATAAAAAGACACAGAGTGGCAAAATGGATTAAAGTACAAGATCCAACAATTTGTTGCCTCCAGGAAACACACCTCAGCCCCAAGGACAAACACAGGCTCAGAATGAAGGGGTGGAGGACAATATTTCAAGCTAATAGCAAGCAAAAAAAAGCAGGTGTTGCAATTCTTATATCAGACAAAGCAGGTTTCAAAATAAGACAGGTAAAGAGAGACACAGAGGGACAATAGATAATGATCAAAGGGACACTTCATCAAGAAGAAATAACGCTTATAAATATCTGTGCACCCAACATAGGAGCCCCCAGGTTCATAAAGTAACTACTAACAGACCTAAAGGAAGATATTAAAAACAACACAATAATAGGAGGGGACCTCAACACCCCACTCACATCAATGGACAGATCATCCAGACAGAAAATCAACAAGGAAATAGTGGAGCTAAACAAAAAACTAAAACAGTTGGACTTAATAGACATATATAGATCACTTCACCCTGAAAGAGCTGAATACACGTTCTTCTCAAGTGCACATGGAACATTCTCAAGGATAGACCATATGTTGGGAAACAAGGCAAGAGTCTACAAATTTAAAAAAATTGAAATAATAACAAGCATCTTCTCTGATCATAATGCTGTAAGGCTAGAAATTAATTACAAGAAAAAAGCTGAGAAAGGCACAAAGATGTGGAGACTAAACAACACACTACTGAACAAGCAATGGATCACTGAAGAAATTAAAGAAGAAATCAAAAAATACCTGTAAACTAATGAAAATGATAACATGCCATACCAACTCATATGGGATACAGAAAAAGCTGTATTAAGAGGGGAATTCATCGCAATACTGGCACATCTTAACAAACAAGAAAAATCCCAAATAAGCAATCTTAAACTACACCTAACTGAACTAGAGAAGGAAGAACAAATAAAGCCCAAAGTCAGCAGAAGGAGAGAAATAATAAAAATCAGAGCAGAAATAAATACTATTGAAACGAAAAAGGCGGTAGAAAGGATCAATGAAACAAAGAGCTGGTTTTTTGAGAAGATAAGTAAAATTGACAAACTCCTAGCCAGACTTACATAGAAAAGAAGGGATAAAGCTCAAATAAACAAAATCAGAAATGAAAGAGGAGCAATAACAACAGACTCTGCAGAAATACAACAGATTATAACAAAATACTACAAAAAGCTATATGCCAACAGAATGGATAACCTAGAGGAAATGGATACATTCTTGGACTCCTACAATCTCCCAAAGCTCACTCAAGAAGAAGCAGACAATTTGAACAGACCAATCACAAGGAAAGAGATTGAAACAGCAATCAAAAACATCACAAAGAATAAAAGCCCAAGACCAGATGGCTTTCCTGGGGAATTCTACCAAACTTTCAGAGAGGATTTAATACCTATCCTTTCCAAGCTATTCCAAAAAATTAGGGAGGATGGAACACTTGCTAACACATTCTATGAGGCCAACATCACGCTGATACCAAAGCCTGACAAGGACACCACGAAAAAAGAGAACTACAGGCCAATATCACTGATGAACATAGATGCAAAAATCCTCAACAAAATTTTGGCAATGAGAATTCAGCAATTCATCAAAAGGATCATACATCATGATCAGGTGGGATTCATACCAGGGGCACAGGGATGGTTCATCATCCGCAAATCAATCAACGTGATACACCACATCAACAAACTGAGGAATAAAAACCACATGATCATCTCAATAGATGCAGAGAAAGCATTTGACAAGATCCAACAGCCAATAATGATAAAAACTCTGAACAAAATTGGCATAGAAGGGAACTACCTCAACATAATAAAGGCCATATACGACAAACCCACAGCCAGCATCATATTCAATGGACAAAAACTGAGCGCCATCCCCCTGAAAACAGGTACGAGACAAGGATGCCCTCTATCACCACTCTTATTTAACATAGTACTGGAGGTACTGGCCAGAGCAATCAGGCAAGAAAAAGGAATAAAAGGAATCCAAATAGGGAGGGAAGAAGTGAAACTCTTGCTGTTTGCAGACGACATGATCTTATATCTAGAAAACCCCAAAGAATCCATCGGAAAACTCTTAGCAGTAATCAACAACTACAGCCAAGTTTCAGGATATAAAATCAATCTGCATAAATTGTCGGTGTCACAATCCAATGTACACACCAGGATAGATGCGGAGAGGGCTGATGGCCACTCTGAGTTTATTATAACCAGCGTTTCAATATATACATAGCTTACATCTGTTACACATACACAGATGTTCTGGATGAAATAATTAGCGAATGCCAAGAATTCTTAATGATTTCTCAAGCAGCCCTCCCTCGGCATCTGTTTTGATATTTTCATGTTATTGCTGTGCTCCTATATTTTTATCTCAGAGCAGGCAAGGTCTCTTAGGCAACGGCCCCTCCTGCTCCTGATATCGATATCGTTTCTCCATCTGTGCCCCTGGGCGACCGATGCCTGTCCTGGTTGCCTCCCCCTGGAGGTCTTACCCGTCATTGGCTAACCGGCCTTCTCACCTCTGGGTCACAGTTTGTTGGCAAGCTTTTTCCAGTGATTATTAACCCTTCCTGCATCAGGGGCGGCTACACAAATCAGTAGCATTTTTATATTCTAATAATGAACTAACAGAAAAAGAACTCAAGAAAACAATACCATTCACAATCACAACAAAAAGAATAACATCCCTCGGGGTAAAT